CAACTTTTTAAATAAACTAACCAGACGATTTTCCTTCCCGAGTCTTAAACCCACCAGATGTGATTATATCGACCTATCAAAGGTATCTTGCTCATACTTAGTGCCGAGAGGACATAGTTAACCGTTATTCCTACCGAAAAGTTTTTCTAAAGACGTTGGAAACGTCGCGCCAGAGAAGAAATCCCAAGTGGGCGGCGTTATTCCTGGTGAGCAGGGATGCGCCGACAAATTCGGTTGCTCCTATCCTTTTGCTTCATTTTTTAACGGTCGCCTAGCGAGAACGACTAACAAAAAACTAGACACGGAAAGATGCGGGGACGGAGAGAGAGAGAGAGAAAGAGAGAGAGTAAAAAGAAAAGATTGAATTTAATGTTGTTGAAGAGGAAAAGGGGGAGTCGAAAAATCACGAGAACGAGACGATGAAACTTGTAAGTACTCATAGGTGGAACGCTTTCTCGCGAGCTTCGATGAATGAAAGCAGAGGTTGTGAATGAACTTGTCGCGCGTTCCAAAGGCTCGAGACGTGGAATCGGAGGGTAAACCGCGTGGAAACGATAGCCTGTAACCGGCGGACAATTGAAAGCGATACTTTGCACGATAAAAGAAACAGACACGCTCACCCTTCGTAATTGTTATGCTTAGTCGGGCCACGCCGCGCTGCTCCTGAAACGAGAGAAAACAGAAACGTTAAATTGAATTTAAACCAACAGCTTTTTCTTTCTTCCTTTTCCCTTTCCCGTCGTTGTTAAGTACAATATTCGTACGCGAAGAGGAAAAGTAAGAAAGGCAACGAGTGTCGTGCAGAAAAGGAAAAGTAGGAGCGCGGTGCGAAAGTAGGGTCGCTAGAGAACCGGAACACCTTTCCTCGCTGTTGCGTTCGCCGTGAAACGTTTCCGCAGGAAGTTGATGCAACCTCTGTGACGAACGTTATTTCGTGCTCATAGTCTATCCACTGGCGCACTTTCAACGTCTCTGCCAGACGTATCCTAGTTCCTTTGTCTTTTAACGTTTGCCAAAATTTCCATCGTATTCCTTCGTGTGCCAAGAGAAAAAAAATGTTGCTCGATTCATACGATACTCTAACGATTTCCCTCATCCTGTCTTTCCCTATTCCGTAACGAGAAGCTTACGGTGTAACTACGGTTACGATGCGGCGGTTGCGGATATGGTTACAGTTACGGAAATATCGTGCTCTCTTCGCGATCGAGTAACATTTTCGCTCGCGATATTCGGCTCATCCGTCGATCGTTCGATAATTCAATCGGCAAACGATCGAACCGAGTGATTCATTCTCCTAATCGTCGAGGTTGATCTGTGTTACAGGACTCGCTGCATCCACGGGTCGTAAAAAAACGCAGCGGTTAAATATATACCATCGAGGGGGAGAACCACGAAGGGCGAGGGTGGCAAGTACCGGGTCGCAGGAATAACCGCCCTTCGAGATCTATTTTAGACGCGAATATGCGTTCCATAAATATAACGAATATAAACGACCGGCGGGCCAGACCCGAAGGAGATTGGGATACAGATGTCGAACGGATGGGCTCCCGTAATCGCTAGCGTACGTTACGAATCCGGTAAATCGAGTACACAGTTTACGACAGATCGAAAAGCAGACGGGGAATACTCGTTGGTTGTCAGATCGAAACGACGCGACAGCCACCTGGGAAACGGTGTTCAGCCTAGGAATCGTTCGAGATAACCCTAGTCTGTTGGAAGCTAGACGGGGAAAATGAAAATTCTACGACAATGCGTAATGGCACGAGCCAAGTAGAGGGTCGGGATACCCCGGTGCAGTGAACTACGTAGGTAGATAGGAGAACCGCGTTCACGTATTCGATCCTCGATACCACGACAAGCGTTCAGCTACGGCTACGCGGTGCCAGGTGGTGACTGTCGGCCCATGTGTGCTCATATGTCTGCCCCCTGAGCCCTTACCTTCCCCTCTAGGGGTAGTGCGACCCCTTCGAATACCAGAAGCACCAAAGATACCAGAGGCACGTTAGCGCCCCATCGTTTCCCTGCGTTCAACGCTCTAGCAGTCAACTACCTAATTACTCTCTCCCTTACCTTACCTTACCTTTCCTTCCCTTCCCTTTCCCGTCTTTCCCTTGTCGCGCGCTCGTGTCACGGTTACCCTCGTTTCTCTTCGTTTATCGTTATTTCGCTCGTCCAGAAAACCAACTAGCATCCTTGCAAGCAACCTTTCATTCTTATCTGTCGAATCACGCGGGCAAATTCTCGAACGCGAGTTTCAACCCCCGCCCCCTACTATAACCACGGTACATAGGTGCACCGTATGGTAGCACTTACATAGGTTCTTCCAAAACCAATGTGACACGCCTCCGAAACGCGCTCCTTTCCCTGCTTCCTAGTCGTTGCGTGTCAAACTCTTCTACGCGAAAGGGGGAAAAAAATGCTCGACAGGAGGGTGCCAGTATCGATCGACTAACGAAACCGAGCTAACGGGCGCGTGCCACCGTTACCAACCGCTGACCGAATCGATCGATATTCTACCATATGCACCGACCCCACCGAGACGACTGATTCGCCAAAATTTGCCCCTACACCTATTCTTTCGAAAGTTTATCAAAATTGACGAATTGCATTTTGTTGTGTAGAGAAGATGGGGAAAAAAGGAAGAAAACGAATCGACTATTGCGATGGACGTTAACTTCGATACGAACGGAAAACGAGTCTTATACATAAAGTCATGAACCGTGGAAAGAAAAGAGCGCGTTGCGCGTTACGGATTGCGAGTTCGCTCGAGACACAGGTGGTGTACGAGCTACCCCACCGTGACCGACACGACGGGCAACCACCAGCTCCCGAAGAATACGCGATTCAGCCGCTTATCGCAACAACAATAACGATTCAGACGTATTTTGCTCTTCTTTTTTTTAAATATTCTTCAATTCGCCCTGCTGTCTCTGGCTAACGATTATCGTTCGCCAAGTTATAGGGTCGTTTTGCGCTATATTGTCGCTATAGTGAACTATAATACTATTTCCACGCCCATCGATGTCGCGTTTTTCCTACCTCTTGTTTCGCCTACCGTTAAGGAAAATTATTAGAGGAATAAGGGTGACGCAGGTAGCGAACAACCCTCTACCTCACCTTCCCACCCTCCTTAACCTTTTATAAATCTTTGACGATTCGACATAATTAACAGCGTGTACTATTACAATAGACCGTATCGTTAAAAACAAAAAAAGAAACAGCTAAATAACGATCGAGAACTGCATCGACATCGAACGACGAAGTATCGTTGAGAGAACGCATCGAAGGATTACAATTCGCGAAGAGAGGGAAAAAATTGATTAGTAATTCGGTTTGGAACCGTTAAAGGTTACCGAACGGAACGACTCATCGTCTATTGAGGATCAGGTTGCGAGACCTGCCTTACCGGCCTTACGAGAAATGCTAATATGTATACCGAAAGACCGGGACCTCCAAGACCCGAAGACCCCCAAACACATCAAAGACCTCGTGAAACCCTTTTATCGTCTCCGTTATTTTCTTCCTTCTTTCCCTACGTTCTTTTCCTTTTCAGTCGCTGTACACGGCTCGTGCCGTCTCGCCTCACCTTGCCACGGCTCGCTTCGTCTCGTCAAAGTTCTTTCAGCCATCTAAATTTTAAATTCTCTTCGATTGAAAACCATCGCGACCGACAGGCGCACCGTGCACACCTTTAATCCTTTGGCATTCTTCTTACGCGTCCCTCTTCTCTTCTCCCCCTTTCTCTCTTTTCCCTTTTTTTCTTTTTCTCTCTAACTGACTGTATTTTTTGTTCTCTAGTCTTTCTTTTTTCATTTTTTTTTTTTTTTTCTTCCTAAGTAACACGTTAATATGTAAAATGTGAACGGCTGATTCGCGGTATACGAAATCGAAAGGATAGAGAACAAGTTTTAGGGAAGAATGTAAGGTAGACCTTCGTTGCCTCTGTATTCGTTTAGCTTTAAATATTTTGCTCACCTTGGTAGGGTTCAGCCTCTTTGTCATCTCCGCCTTTTAATGAATCTACCGAAAGCAACGTAGAGTTCATCAATCCGACGATTCCGGATATCGGTGATACGAGCACCATCGACGCTTCCTCCCCCGATTGTTCGTGTGAATTTTCTTCCAACTCTGTGATACGCGATAACATTGCTATTTTCTGAAAACCAGACATTCCGATCTCTTGTATGACATTGTTCGACGTGGACTTTTATTTTTTTTAATTTCTTGTTTATTATTTTATTAACGATCAAAAGACTACCTATAGATTCGAAATCCTTCGCTCCAAACACTGTACGATAATAAATTTTTCAAGAAACCCTTTTGTTCTTCGCATCGCTTCTCTTCTTCATTTGCAAATTCTGCTGTAAGGAAAGGAAAGGAAAGATATAGTGTACGAAAAGTAACCTTGCGGATTTTCAATGATACACGAAACGCCTGGAGAATGAATAACGAAAGGAGACTGAATATCAGTTATGGAGTTAGATCAATTTAATTTATTCATTCTTCATTCTCTGCAGAATCATTCGAATTTTTTTATTTCTTGTTATATCACGATCAATAAACAAATCGAAAAATATAATATTATTGTACACGTTGTTGCTTACCTTCTTTCCTGAAGATGGTTATCGGAGTTTTCAGTATAAAAACTATCTAAATTTAAATTTGACGAAACATTTGTTCCCTGGTTTAACAATCTCGTTGATGATAACGTATCGAAGAAACGGCTTTGTAACAATTACACCGATCAAAACTCTGTAACTAATTAATTGACATCTTTGCCCGTATCAAGGTAAACAAAGTTAGCCCGCGCAAATGCGCTTTATTACGACTAACGCCATCTACCAAAACATACGGAGAAATCTAGAAACAAAAGACATCGCGTAGACCGGAAACTACTCATCGGTGCTACACCTGTATCGTTACAGATATCGTTTACCAATGATGCCAATAGCTTTCGCATTAACATTTTATTTTAAACACGAATAAAAAGAACCGACTTCTAAAACAAAGTTTATATAATTTATTTATTGCTTATAAAATCTTAAATATCTCTTTCATCGTTTGCTTATAACAACGCTCGCCGTCTATAAATTACAATAAAATATATGTCCTGTACAACCAGGAGACTAACAGCTTTGCTATATAAAAAAAATCATAAATATTCGTCGTTTATAATAGTCGTATAAATCTTGATTAACAGTACGTTGTATATAACTGAGAAAGCTAAGGCACCTGAAACAGTTTCGGATCCTTAAGCCGTTACCCAGTCGGACGACACGAAACGACCATAAAACTGTATTCTATATCTGTAATAGGACAGATAACGAATAATAATACTAAAAGCTCGTTCCGCTGACCGTTGACAAATATTTAATACGGGTTAAAAAATATTTTTCCGACTGGAGTCGGTTGGGCTTAAGGGAACCGTGGCGCGATTAGACTTTGGTAAAGATTTCGAGGACACGATATAACCAGTTTTCGTTGTGTTTGTTACAAGATTTTTCGGTTTCGGCGGCAGGGGAGGAGGTTTCGATGATTTCGGAGGCGATGAGGTTTCAGCATCGGAAGAATCCAACCCGCCGATTCGACAGCAAGATCCGTTCTCCACGATGGTCCGATCTCCGTCCGTTAAAGTAGTATCCAACACGAACGAATTCTCGGAGGATTTACTTTGACGCTCTTTTCCCGTAACCGATACATAGAATCGTGCATCGGTAGCTCCATTCTTCGACGAAACAACCGTATTTTGATCCTTTCCGCCACAGTTTTGCCGTTCATGGATAGAACCGTAAAATTTGGAGTTTGCCTCGCAATTTGCTGATACTATCCTAGGTCTTCGTACCTTATTGCGATCCGTCGGCTTACCACCATTTTCCTTGTTCTGATCAGTAATTTCATAGCTTTAACGTCGAAATGCATCATGATAACAGTTTCAAAGATAAAATGTGTTTAAAAACGATACGATAGCTGTGCGCGCGTTAGGAAATATTGCGTCTTCGGAAAGATACGTTATTAGGTTATTAGTATGCCACAAAGGATGCGAGTTTCCGTTTACCTTTAAAAAGTCTGGCAGCTCAAAATTGATCTCCGTTCCTCTCTGGTCTTCCAATCGAGATCTTTGCGCTCGTTTCAAACCCTCGTATAGATCTATCGAAAAAAGAAGAAAGAGAATCATATCTTTATCTTTAACACGATTCATTACAAGTGATAACAAGCAGAATATCGTTATCTTTATCTACCTCGCTCTCCTTACCTTCACCGTCAAATTTTCCCGGTAATTGTAATTTCACTCCGTTCCGCCATTTGGCTATTAAAGGAGGATGAGGCTTGCTAGTTTCTTCGGAGATGTAATCACTCGTACTACCTTTCTCGCTGGTGTTGTTACATTTAGATTTTCCCTTTGGCGTAATCGAAAAATCAATGACAGAAAATTATATTTAAACCGAATGTTAATAAACCGGGTATAATAAAAATAAAAGCGTTTCGTACTTTCTTCTTTCCATGCATCGTGGAATCCCGGAGAAAAAACTTGCTGGGCAAAATAGACGAACCTTCGGAACGTTGGTCGTCCGACTGTAAAGAAAGAGTATAAACGACTTAAACGATGAAAAACGTATAAACTCGAAGGTACTCTCTTAATCGACCACTCGAATGTATCCTTCTTTTTATTACCTTACACGAGCCTTCGCTGTACTGATGCTTACTCGTACTTTTACCCACTAATAACTCTTCGAATACCTTGTTGGTAATTTCGTCTAAGGTGGGTTGAGCGTGTGACGGGTCGTTCGTCGATTTAATGGTACGCACCTCTTTCTGTGGATCTATAAAACGTTCTTCTTTTCAATACCTGAACGGATTAACAGTTCATTCATTTCAATTGCTTCGAAAAGTATATTACCTTCGTCTTTTGTGTTCGTTAAAATTAGCCTAGCTGGAGCATCGACGGCTAGTATATCAGGACAAATGCAACGGTTCTCACTCCATACAGTGACCGTGTCTAAATTGAAACCGTACTTGTTCAAAAGAGGTCTGAGCACTTCTTTCAGGGTTCTGCCTTTGTGCGCGATTACGGTTATCACGCGACGTGACGGTAGATCTACTTTTAATACTTTTGTTGGAACAACTTCCACTTCTTGACCAGCCAACACCGACGATGGATATTTCGTCTCTATCGTCTAAAATTAGAAAACATAAGGTGAATAAGTTCAGTAAGGATCGATGACGATTAGAAAAATTTCATTCTATGCACAACAGCTGGGTGTTTGTCGATGAATGTGCGAACAACTACGAAAGCTTTACTAACAAATGCATGCATGAAAATTGCAAGTTGATTCGGTAAGTAGAATCTCACGTAGTGCAATTCTTACACCGTTTAACCTCGTTCCTTATACTCGTTCTATCGTACTGACAAGCAATAATGGTTGGAATGTTTAGCGCACAGGATAACGATATACAGACAGGTTCCATGAATACCGCGACCCATGTTAACGAATTACATATTGTGTTAGTTTCGAATAATGATCGTGTAAAAGGTGCGTGAAATAAATACGAGATAGAACACAAACCTCGTCTGTGGCTAGGATTAGAACGTCATAGTTAGAGTATCGGAGAGCTCTTTTATCTAGAAGTCGTGTAACCACATCTTTAATACTCTCCGTTTGGCTAGTTGGCACAACCGTAGTCGATCCATCGGGCAATATTACCCGACACAAACCGGTACATTTGGCGCGAACTTCTTTAGTTTCGTTCGACTGTCCTTCGTAGGACGATAAAGACTACAAGTTACACATACAACAACTTTGTAGATCAGACATGCACTCATGTACCATGTATATTCTATGTATCTTCTTGACTACGCTTCAAAATTCTATCGCGATTAAACTGTAAACTACCTTTACGCTAACTACTACAAATAATAAAAACTAGTGTATCGATATCGTATTTAACCGATCGACATTAGCCATTGATGTAATTGTCTTTTCACACGGTTCCTGATTCTTTCGTCTTTCATTACGGCACGTAATGAAAAGTAAAATGATACTCACGTGTTTATGAAACGATTGCCTCAACGCCAAATCCCATGACGCTAACGAAGATCGGCTACTAGATATAGAAATACTGTCGTCATTGTTATTACCTTCTGCTTCCCTTTTCATCGTCGTGAAACTCTTGTATATGGTTTCATTTCTACTAGGAGTTTTATTATATTCAGATTCTCCACGATCTTTCGACTTGGACCTATAAACACATTAAACGTATACATGATCACCTGCTCTCATATACTCGATATAATACATTACTTATTACAGTTACCTGTTTTTTCTATTCCAAGGAAGAATGGATTTTCTGCATCGATCTTCCGCGTCCGAATGACTCTTCTTTAACTTTACGCTAGGAGAACTGGTAAGATTTAAATCACAATCCTCCGCTCCAATTACCGAACTTCCGGTCTCTATGCAACGACGGTATAAATCCGATCTCAAAAATCTTGGATAACTATCGAATTTCATTAAATTAAATACCTGCTTTTGTGCCTGTAAATGAAAAACAAACCGTTCTAACATCTTTTCAATATTAATAGTAAAGGTAGAATTAATACAAAATATGATTTTTCACCTGTACGAAAAGATCTGACGGTGCTTCGCATAAAAGATCCTGAGTTATTTGGCCAGTGGCATGGCTATCGACATTCACGGGTTCGGCCGCTGTGTTGGACAAATGACGTTGGTAAATTTGATTAGCTAACTTACGCCGTGTCACGATATCTTTAGTATCTTTATATCTCTCGCAAGCAGCCCAAAAATAAATATTCTCATGGCTGAATTCTTTCTTTAGAAATTCCTTTAAAAAGAAGACAATGATTTTAATACATACAATATAACGCGATTATACTCCGCTCAAAAATAAAATTCGATTCTTACCGCAAACGTTTGTAATCCTTTTGGATCTTCCAGTAATTTTTCAAAACCATTCGCCCATGCGTGTATAGTTTTGCAATCGGTGTTTTTATCGTACAATTCTGTACTACCGTGCTGCATCAAAGACACGTTAAAAAATTATACGTTATTAATCGGGTAGTTAACTGGGATTAAACGAGTCATGGGGGAAGCGATCGAGCGCGTGTTCTGTGTCGTACTGACACATATAATATTTTTTTTAAGAATCATTAAAATCAAATCGAAGAATATGGACAATACCTATACTAGTAAACGTAATTCTAACAATTTAAAATTCCGAAAACTAGATCTTTACCACTACCCTGCTTTCATTCTGATACAAGTAAACCAGTACATATATTATGTATGCAAAATTTATATAATTATTCGAATAATTACATTCTATCGTGATGAGTAACCGACCAAAATGAATAATTAAATTTTGAAAATCGAAACGGTATCAAGGTATGTGTATCGATGCACTGTATTAACGGTACTATTTCTACTTGACGTTATCGATTGCACCTTGTTGATCATTAATTGATTCGCTGACATTTAACATTCTGTGTATGTTCATAAAACAGTGAAAATTAATTAATAAACAGTTATCGATTAATTGAACTTAAACAATTAATTTTAGAAAATTGAAAAACATCGAACGATCATGAAACGAGGTTTATGCAATTGAATAGAGAACATCGACTATCTGATACTGCACGTACCGATTTCACCACGGTGTCCATGTCGTGGACGCAAATCGTGTTTCTTCGTGCAGCCGCGCCACGATCTCATTTACCAAGGGAAAAATAAAAATATATTTAACAAAAATAATTTAGTTTACGAGGCAATCTTCTTAAAATCGATCATAAATACAACGTTACGCTACGTTCCTAACAATAAGGGCTACGCCCAACTGCAGCGATGCACTGTTGACAATTACAATTCCCCGCACGGTTTCTCTTCAACTCGATATGGTCAGCCGAACACAATGAGCACCGACACGACCGACGCGATCGACCGATAAATAGTTTACGATCGAACCGACAGTTTGCACAACGTTCGATTAATAAATTTTTCCAAAGAACAAACCGAACCACCGGTATACTTTAATCGTCGCTATCGTAACTGTTACGATCAACGTCACGTTCATTTCGTGTCTAACATGTCATTCTCATGTGCACACCGTTACGGGCATATATTCGCCTGTGCTTCATTTCCTTTTCTCTCTCTCTTTCTTTCTCCTACTCCGTTTACTCCGTCGGTATCTTGTTCCTTCCTACCAAACTCATTTTTTCACTCACTTATGCTAGCTTACTAGATTTTACACTTCAATTTTTCTTTTCTCATCCTAATTCCGTACCTTCCCTTTTTCTCCTCCTCCTCCTCCGCCTTTCTTTTCTCTCCCTTCCCCATGACCCAACTTTTCTCACACTCTCCCTCCCTTCTTCCCTCACCCTCCTTTTTATTCCCAAGCATTATATTTCCTGTTCTTTGAATTCATTTACTTTTTCTCCTTCATTTAATAGTAAATACATAAAGAAATAAATGCTCCAACTTCTAAACGAATCATTTTTTTAAACGTACCTCTCTCTTTTTTTTAATTATTTTTTTTAATTCTCGGGAGAACTATGGAGGTCGTACGCAAAGTAATGGATAAAATTAAAATGTGTTAACAAAATAATATTAAAAAAAAAAACCTTACCAAACAGGTATCCTGCACATAGGTTCCAACATTTCGAATTTCCTGTAAACTTCCCCAAGGGCGAGAGTTATCCGATTTGTCTGAATAAGTCTGGCAGAGTGGTCGAGTGTAATCCATGTTCGTATTTAGATCTTCGAAACTATGCACTAATGACTTGGAAATACCAGAAAATACTTTCGGGCTAAACTTGTCTCGATCATCGATTCCCGCAGGTTCTGTTAATCCCGTGAAATCCAACAATCGTTTAGATCTAACTACAGAATCGTCCGATGTCTCGACAGAATCTTCAATACCGTGCAGCATCGCAGTAGTGCAAACGGACGCGAGAGAACCAACGGACGAACTAACCAACCCCTGCTTAACTGTAGCAGCAGATGGCAATGGACAGGTGGGCAAATCCCCCCTCTTCGTTCCTTTTTCTATACCGGAATTCATCTCGTGATCCTCCACCATTTCTGTACACGTACTCATTCCATTGCAAAAATCATTAAAAGCAACACCTTCATGAGTTAATTCTGTGTTACTCCTGCACATATCCGACTTATTTGCTTCGTTCCAGCATACGTTTATCCTATTTACTTGTTTCGATACAGCTCGAACCGTCAATTTTAAATCGGTAATCTCGTTACCGTACGTTTTCGACGAATACTCGTGTGCATCCTGAAAAGGTATACGAACTTTGCTTTTAAACAGAATATTATACAAACAGTACGTTCTTAATATTTTTTTCACTTAATAACAAAAATTTAGTAATACTCGTATCAACCATAGAAATGGAAAATTGTTCCTTTCTTTATCTTCCTTTTTTTTTTAATACAAATACAAGATAAAAGCGTTAATCAAGAACGTAGAATTGTTGATAACAAATGTACTCCTCAAGATCATGAAATGAAAAAATAATTACAAGAATTGATCATAATGGACGTACTCTGTACTCTGAATTAAGGCAGCATCTTCTTCGAGAAACGTTCTGCACGGTATTTCTATCCGAACGATTTGCACAATCATCTTTATAGCCAATTCCTGAGTCACTGTTACTCGAATGAGCCGTAGATGTACTTATATTGCTTGGCTGCGGAGAAGCAGTTTCTTGATGTCTTCTCATTTCGTTATACGAATTAGTATCGGTGCCTGTTGAATCTGATATGTACAAAGTCTGGATCGCACCGATCAGACCGTTGCAGCTATCCGGAAACTCTTGACATACATTTAATTCGGAAGTTTTTGTGCACGTAAATCCAAATATATTACACGCGCTAGAATGTACTGTATGATCTATCAATTTATAGTAAATTGTAAAAACATGGCATGAATTTGAAACAATGTTCTCTTTATCTCTAACAGATTTAGTCAATATACCAAAGTACTGTTTGTCTTGTTCAGAAAAAGAATTGCAAAATATGATCCTATAAGATGGATATTCTGCTATTACACGATTCTCTGAGTTAGTGAGCTTTATGTTTGCCACGTGTATAGTTAAAAGTACAGTGGTTGGATTTCTTTTTTCAGCCTTTAATCGCTTGATGCACTTTCTCAAAACCTACAAAAGTAAAATACTTAATAAATAATTTAAGAGAAGAATTTACAATAATATCTGTATCATTAAGATTATCTATTTACCTGCATCATGCTGGATGGATGCAACTGATTTGGAATGTCAATAGTTCCAAGATAACCGACAACAGTTCTATGTACTATTTTCTCAGAATCTCTTTTATGAGAAGCTGGTGGCGGAGGTGGAGGAAGAGGATTAGACATATCCCAGTGGTAATGTAAATCGTAGTAAGTTTCTTGGTTTTGTAATTCAGACAATGTTTTCCCTGTTGCATCAAACATGGCACCGCTTTGTAAATCTCTTACAACTTTAGCAACTCTACATTGCAACTGCAATGCTCCCATGTTACTTGCACGTGGCTTGTAAATATATTTAGGCTTACAACGTACTGTTGTTACTCCTTCTTCGTCTGAAGAATCAGAATAATAATTTTCAGCTATTTGTAATCTCAAAAGACCTTTAGAACGACCAATTAGTTGTACAACATCATCATGGGGCAGTTTACTGACATTATGACCATTGACAGACACCAAATAATCACCAGCTCGTAATCCGGCAATTTCTGCTGGACTTCCTGGAACGATGCAACTCAAAATACAAGGTTGCTGTCCCGAAATCGTGAAACCAAATCCTTTCATTCCACGCAGTACCTCCACTGTCCTTACACCGTAATTCACTCTCTTTTTTTTTCTTCTGTTTTGATGCATTCTTATACTTTCTTCTCATCAATTCTCATAAAGACTTCGATCAATTCGTCAAATCTATTAATCAGATTATCATTAAATTGATATTTTCGTAAGCTTGAAAACCTTTCGAATCATTCTACCTGACACTATATTAACTTTTATTGCCTTCTTGATGCTTCGTTGAAAAATATTTTAATATCTCGAAGCAAAATGATGCTTTTATTCTACTTCTAAATGTCAATATTAATCGTCGATATTTTAATTTTCCTTTAAAATTGGTTACCGATCGTTTACGCTTCGAATCATCACGGCGTTCTTCCTATATACATATGTACAAACATACACATATCGATGTATGTATGTACAGTATCGAGCACAGTAGTGTGACAGTAAGCTTCCCTAGGGAAAATGGCGTTACAGGGGAAGCAGAAATTTTGACAGAGGAGGAACAGAGAGTCCTCATGCCAGGGTTTTATTTGCCGCGTTGTACTGGTGCTACACCATGCGGCCAACTCTTGCAAAGAATAGAAATTGATAAGTGACATCTAAAGGTAACATATTGTACAAGAACCGTAGATCCTTGTGTTTCACGTGTCGATAAGTTACGCAACTTCATTACCATTTTTGATAATTACCATTTATCGTCGGCGCCAAACCGACTAAGCCTAATTAGCAGGCAGCCATTTCTCACAGGGGCAGGCAATCTTTATACTACTTATCCAATAATATCTCGTTGGTGTCCAATTTAGTTAACAAACCTATACAAAAATGCAAAAATTAACGAAGAAATATAGTACGCCACAAACCCGCAGCCAATTTGCTCGTATTATTTGTTACATAATTAATAAATGTACCATAAAAATAATGATGCAGTTATTAATTATCCATCAAATAATAACGATTGCCCAGGTCTCACCGTGAGGAGGTTGCTGCGGTTTGGAGACCCGCCCTATCCTCATCCCATCCACCCTCCTTTTATGCAAATTATTATTCAATAACATCAATACCATCCTCCTGATGCACATTTGCAAAACGTTTTTGATTGTTGTGCAAACGAACAGCAAAAGGAGTATTATCTTTATTCACTACCTGCCTATCTACTTATTTACTTACATTTTTCTTTTTTATTTTGATTACAGTAAATATACAATTGCATATTTGTCCTACATAATTATAAATACTAAGGATACCTCTCTATACGAGCGCTCGTATAATAACAAAAATTCGCTTAAATCTAAAATTTCCTAATTAAACACTGCAGTGTTTAAACTTAATTATATATTTATTCAATTACTTAACTTTAGGATCCTTAAGATATAATTGTCCTACCTAATCATTAACTTACAATTATATATATATATATATAAAAATCTAAAAGGATATAAACAAACACCTATAATAAATTTGTTGATTTGGTTGGCCTTACAGCAATACGTCTTGAAACAAACTAAAAAGAAATAAACATAATTTAAAAAAAAATAAATAAATTTTATATTGCCTTAACCATAGACTTACGCATAAAAATCTAAAGGGAAATTATGCAAATTATCAATTTTTATTCTAATAAAATTATATATGAAATTGAATTTTATAAAATATTAGCAATAACAATTAAGAAGAACTCTCAATTATCAAGTATTGAAATTGTAAATTATTCTATTTTAATAAAAAGCAATTAAGCGACGTACCAAGACGGAAGTCGTGAAGAAAGCCATCATCAGGATATCCAGGAACTCGGCAAAATCAAAAAATTCATCTGTAACAAAACAAAAAAGAATTACGGTTAATTTTGAAAATTATCAATTCTTATTGTAATAAAATTAGGTATATATAAATTTGGATTTTATCAAATATTAACAATGAAAAATAACTCTCAACTATCAAGTGTTAAAATTGTAAATTATTCTACTTGAATTAAAATTAATTAAATAAAGTAATAAGATACTTACACTCTTTCCTTATGGAGCAATGCCCAAGACTCCTCTTCAGTGGTGCACTGACTCTAATACCGGATATATCGAGCAATTAAAAAAAAAATAAAAAATAAAAATATAGATATGAAATACTAGTAACGCGACCGTGAATAATTTCCGGCGAACAATTATAGAGACTCTACTTTCGCGATGGAAAAAGAAAAATCAGAGCCGCGATGCTCTAGCAAATATTTTATAATACGCAGCAAACACTGACTCTACTTTCGCGTGATTCCTAATCATACAAACGCAACTCTATTCAGGGCCAATTCGCCCTTGCAAAAATCAAAACATTAGAAGTATATTCGTACAAACACTGACTCTTCTGACCGCATTGCGCGCGGCCACAACAATTCCTGAAAGAAAAACTTAGTGAGCAGGGATGGGCTGGGTGGAAATATACAAAACAACATTCTTCTTATTGAACTTTCGTAGCGGAAATACTGTTATTAATGGCTTGTAAATGAAAATATCTATGTTCGTGAAATATATTCGACGAGCACAAATATTGTTAAAGCTGAATATTGATCCTAGATTGAAATGAAATGTTTTAAATAATTGTTGATAATTATTTCAATGAATATTACATCGATAGAAAATCATTTTGTAATAAAGATAATAGACTACTGTATTAAAGCAGAGGATTTTTGTTGTTAAGATTGTTAGCATACTACAAATTGTTGGAAATTCTATTACGGCTAGATTTATAAATTATCTAATTCTTTTCAATAAGCAAAATCCAATAATTAATCATGCTTAAACAGCATATGACTTAAAAACCTGATTCTATTTTAATTTAAACTTGCATCGAAAACTGGATATTATAATATAATTACTACGATTTAACAAAAATAGATTGTTTAAAATAATTAATAATTGCAGAAGAGAAGTAATCATTTGCAGTAGAATACGAATTATTTCAATTTTGTTCTAGTTTAAAACAAATGTATTAAAATAGTGGACGAAATTATTCAATAAAATGAAAAAGTAATTATTCTTTTTCTATGAATTGGTTAAAGAAAAAAAATGTCTCTAATCTTTTCTTTCTTGACTTTGGTAGCAAGTAATTATCAAAAATGCTTACAATTAACAACGACTCAATAAAAAACAAGTAATAATAAATGTTAATAATTGATTAGAATAAATTAAAACAATAAATTCTTATGAAATTCTATTTCAAACCCATAATATCAGGTGTCATGGCGTCCTTTCAATATTCATCAAATATCTGTAACAAATAAGAAATACCAATTTATGTCAATAAAATTTAATCAACAATAATAAAATTATTACTAATAAACGATCGAACTATAATTTATGCAAAATATTTTAATAGGTGCAATGGGTACCTACTACTTATGCGGAAGGATGCTCTCAACACGTCTTGTCACTTTGACGTTCGCGAGAGAAATGGCGAGAGCTTCCTTCTTGCCGAAGACCGATCAGCACCGTTCGGTATTATTCGGTAATATTCGTCCCCAGCCGAACCGAAGCCGGTAGACGAATAGATCTCATAATATTACGATGCTCGAGAAAGAACGTTATTAAATATCAAACAGTAAATTGTGTGATGCAGTATTAAAAACGTTCAATATTGGTTAGGAAAAGAGCAAGAGTATTAGCGGCAAGAGCAAAAATTTTCAACTCACGTATTTTTGAAGAGAACGCCGAATTAATGTTAAAGATCAAGAATTCAGACTTTTCTTCGATGTTTCTTTCTGTTTTTTGTACTGATAACACCCGATCGGCAATTTAATTTGATATTTGAAGGTAATTTAATCTTACCTGTTGCAGACACGTGAAAGATGGACAAAGCTTCGAAGAGGACTGATGCACTGCGCCACACTCCGCGCACCTCACCCTTCAACGATGAATCTGATAGGTCGAAATGGAAGGACTCCATAATGGAATGACCAATCACAGGCATTGGTAGAAACTTCGAATTACTTCGAAACTTTAACACTAAAAGAACGGAAAGAGTCGTTGAAAATTATCAACGCCGTACTGAAATAAGGTTAAGATTATTTTTTTTAACCTAGAGCACCAAAATATAGGAAAGAAAGTAGAAAAAACATGAAATATTAATGATTTTTAATAAATTATCGTCATAAAAGCAGAATGGCTGAAGAAAATATTATTTTAATTCATATCTATATCGCCAGAATAGAGTATAAATTTTCAGCTTATACATTTCTAAACATAATGTGGAATTGATACCAGAAATAATGAATCTAGACTTCTCTCCAAGTTTTTCTTCCATTTTTCATGCTTTTTATATCACGAATACAATTTAATATAATATTTTAATATTATTTATAGTACTTTGTTACAGACGCGTGCACTCATGACGGTTAAGAAAGGAAGTGACGTATGAGGTAGAAACGTTCACATAATAAATACCAAAGAAAAAACTAAATAATGTGTTTTTATAGCTTTTTTATAATACCCATCCTGCTTTAAGCTTTAGTTATTTCTAATTAACTCATGAATAAAGAAAATATTGAAGTTGATAAATTCTTGTATATACTAATTTGGATGTCTTTTACAGATTTCTATTCTTTTGTAAAAGCGGCTACGGTAAAAGTTAGCCGCATGGTGCAGCACCATACTGAACACAAGCAAAATCCTGGGTGTGAACACTCTTTGTTCATTCCCTTCTTCAATACCAAAATTGCTATAAAATATTTTGCTGCTTCCATTATTCTTTTTATTTTACTTTTATCCTTTTACTCCCTTCGCTTTTTGTGATTTACATCATTATTTACAGGTACCTACATAAGTACCTCTACCTACCTGGAAACTAGACCTAATGTTATCATGTCCATTGGTGGGGATGCCTTCGGTTACGGCGCTATTTTCTTTGATTTGATCGCTAGGCTAGATCACGCAAGATGAAATATACAAACGAACGCATACAGATTTTTTGTTATGGTGAATTTTGTAATAACGTTCGTCTAAATTGGTTATGAATGATTTCGGCTTCACTACTAGCGAAATTATAAATACCTATTTATAATTTAAGTATTTTCTGAGAAGCTTTTTGTTGAATGTGACAAACAGGTTAGTTAATCATTTTGAAATCATTCTAAAGATAAAATAAAATCAATCTTACTCAAATGAAGTCTAGTGCAATAGGTTGGAAAATAATACCAAATGCTGTTGCAAACAGAATGTTAGATTTCTCTTTAATACATAAATTGGTACCATCTAAGAAAATATATCGTAGATGTAAGGCTATGAATATGGTACTTAGACGACGTCGCTTGAGAACTTATAGTAGATATGTTAAACTGAAAACTGCTGTTCTTCGAAAATTGCCAGATGATGACGAAACAGACGCCAGTGATTATTTCAGTGATACTGATTATAGTTCTTTGTATAATTCCGCTTTATCTTTGACAAAATATAAACAAACTCAGAAGAAAAATCAAGATTATTTTCGTAAAAGAAAGCTTGAAACTGATGAAAATGACATTGTACATCATACAACAAACAAAAAAGCTGTAACACAAAAAGTAGAAAGTGAAGATCTTGAAGGTACAGACTTAGGCTGGCAAGAAGTTAAGAAGAAAAGGAAAAATAGTTTAAATGACATCAATGAAAACATTTCGCATACTAACTCAATTGAAACTCAAAGACTAGCTGCTCATAAAGATGTTGAAACTAGTTTAGAAACAGCCAGTACTAATGAAAATTCTATAACTTCTCTTAAAAAACGTTCTTTGATCCATCAGTCAGATGAAAATCACCATTGTGAAACATTTAATATCCCTGGAATACAGGCAGTGGAAGGAATTAAAAAGAATTTGACACCTCTATTAGATGATATCGGTGAAACAAAGAATGAAATGAATAACTCTTCTGCAAATATAAAAGTATGCCTGAATGAAAATCATTCTAATTCATCTGAGAGGAATGCAAATGAGCAGGAAACACCTGTAGATAAAGATAAAAATAATCAAATTTTAAATATTCAACCTTTGCCTCATGGTAATGTAAATCAACCAAAAGATTCAGGGATTGAAGAAGATACAGAAGAAGAAGTTTTGGAAAATAAATCTAAGAATCCCAGGGAAAATGGAGATAAAGTACATGAAATAGTAGAGAATATACAAACAACATCTTCCACTTTGAATCAAAGAAACAATTCTATCATGCAGATAGGTTCACCAAATTCTGATAATCATTTGTCATTTGATAATCACAATATAGCAAGTAACATAGATTCTAGAGATATGAAAATGTTACTTAATAAAGATAAGTCACAACCTATAGTCACTTGTATGGAAATTGTTAACAAAAAGTATAAAATAATATCACATGACACATCGTTAGCCGATAATTGTACAAGTCCAGAATTAAGTTTAAACGACTTTGATAATACAGAGATGCTTAGAACACAAGAAATGGTACAAGATACAGAAGATAGCGTCTCACCTTCGGTAAACAAACGTTTACAACAATTAAGAAGATTAAATTTAACTGTGGAAAGCGAGTCCGATCTCAGCGACGATGATAACATATCCTGTAGCACTAAAAATATGATGGATGATTTACTTAGACGTTCTACAGAATCTCTTGATACGTCAGATAGTGAAGATAAATCTGTTGAGCTAACAAAGATAATTCAGTTGGATAAGAAATTGCAGAAGAATAAAAGTTTCAGAATAGAAGATTGCCAAAAAGAAAACACTGTACAATCAGTTACCAATAGTGAAAAACACATGAAAAGTAAAACACACAAAAACAGGAGAAAAAGCGAAGATGAAGAACCTGAACAATCATTACAGTTTAGAGCATTCAATGAAAATTCATATAAGTCCACATCTAAATGTTCTATTAAAGATGATTTGAATGCAACAGAAGTACATTGTCAAAGCAGTTTATCAAAGTATGTAGAACCAATTACCACTCGTTCTGATCACAAAGACCAAAATGAAGTGAAGAAATTCAATGACGAGAATCAACCGATTGGAAACGTAACGCAAGTTTTGAATGAGGAGAAAACAACATCAGGCACTAGGCCAAGCAATGTATAAATAAAAATTTTATTTTCAATTTATATATACAGCATTGTATGTTTTCTAATGCTTTCTCATCTTTTTCTTTCACAGTTACAACAATTGATAAATGAGGATGGTTTAATTCATCAAACAATGATACCCTCCTTTAGATTTAAAGACATCCACGAAGATGACATCTTTATTTTAGACATTCCATCTGTGGTATGTTATGTACAGAATATTATATTAATATGAAATACTGAAAAACATAATGTTGTATCTCATTACATGTAGGCATTTGAAAAGCATTTATTAGGAAAGAAAATGATTTTAACTGGAAACAAGTTAAAACTTGGGAATCAAAAGTATAAGATTGAATATAAAGATGTAGGCAATATTTCTTGTATTTTTGGCAGAAGAAAATCTCATAAACCATACGAAATAGGTATGAAATAAATTGATAAATACTATTTCTTTTTTTTTTTAATTTATATTATGCAGACACAGTTGTTGATCTTTATACTTTATTCATTTGGTAATTTACTTTTTATCTAGTTAACATTAAACCTGAAGCAAGAATCGTAACACGTGAAAAAATGAATGCACATGCGCATAACAGAAATTGCATCGATTAGGAGGATTTTTAATTTTGTATAAATTTAAACATTTAAAATATTAATGAGTAAAATAAATATAGTTATTATAATAAAAGAATAAATTACCTCAGGGACAACAGCGTTATATTTTTGGAAACAAAAGCGACCTCGATATTGAATTAAGATAAGGGAAGATAAGGTAACTTCAGCAAAAAGTGATATTGAAATAGAAAATAAAGTACCATTTAAGAGAACACAATACAATAACATAATAGAATAAATATTGTACAAAAACAGTGACGATAAAATTAAAATTGGGTCAGTGTCTCTTATGCCGCATCCACATCCTCATCGATCTATATGTATGCACCTGACACTGACGGTGACATAAACATATGTTCAAGTACCACGTAGATTTCGTTGTAACACGTTAATAAACATTAACCCGTATTTTAAACTGTCACATCTCAATCTTGTTTAAAAAATAAAATTGTCAGATAACACTGTTCTGTTTGTGGTTTAATATACAGTTATAATCTTGTGGAATACTTCGAAAAGTAATCAGTATTTAGAAATTATTTGACAACAGTCATTAGCAGGAAATAATGGCTGTGGAATCTGTGAAATTGATTAACGAAGATGTTGAGAGTGGCGGAAAGGAAACGGATGCAAATGACATCGAACATGACTTTACCTACAATAACAATGTTCATAATGCCACTATTAATATACGATTAGGTAATTACATTTATTTTACCTGAGGAGCAACTAATCTATGATAAAGCGAACTTAAAGTCGTTTAATTCTTTATTCTTATTTGTGGTTTATTACTACTATAGGTTTCCTTCGAAAGGTATATGGTTTACTGAGCGTTCAACTTTTAATAACAGTATTAGTAGGTACAGTATTTATGGCATTTGATCCATTAAAGCTCTTCGTTCAAGAGAAGTAAGCATATCATATTGACTTTTTACATGAACATGAGAAAATCATTATTGAAAAAATGTGTTATATGATTTTAGTTCCTGGACATTACTTGTATCATTTATTGGGACTATGGTTACTTTATTTGCTCTATATGTAAAAAGAAAAGATCATCCAGCCAACTTAGTATTGTTGACATTATTTGTGAGTATTCAAATTATTCTTGTTTAATATTTGTGATTTTAATTGAAAAAGTATTAATTGATTTACGTATGATTATTAGACATTGATGCAGGCTTACACCATTGCTATAGTAGTATCGATGTTCGATGTTACTACGGTTTTGGAAGCTTTGTTTATGACACTGACAGTGACGATAGGATTAACTATTTACACGTTTCAAAGCAAACGTGATTTGTCCGTTTCAAGTTCCGGGTATGTTTCTATTTGTATATTTCTTTTTCCTAGATGTATTTATAAAAATTTAAAGATTCTACACTATGTTTTTATGTATGTATTTACAGATTATTTATCGGTCTTTGGATTTTATTACTTGGTGGTTTGATACAAATATTTCTTCAAAGCACTATAATGGAACTGATGTTGAGTATCGGCGGAGCGGCGTTGATGTCAATGTTCATAATTTTCGATACTCGTCTGATAATGCATACACTGTCTCCGGAAGAATATATTTTGGCCACTATCAATATTTACCTTGATATTGTTAATCTGTTTCTTTATATTTTGAGAATTTTCGCAGCTTCGAAACAGTAGAGGCCGTATTTGTATGCACGTATGTCTATATCCTGTTAAATGTGACTTAACTTTCCTAAATAAAAAATTTTTATTTAAATTTGAAGATACTTTAGAAGTACAGAATACCTTTTAACATCACGGCTGTTCCAATATCATATTATTAATAAATATCAGGAACAAATAAATTCCAATTTTAATATTTTTATTTTCGAACATATAAACGAAGTATAGCTTAAGTTTACGAAGTTTCCATGGCGGCAGTCGAATCCTCTGTATATTTTCCCTTATCCTTGCCCAATGCTGCAAGTCTGCCTTTACTCCTTCTATCTATGATCTTCTTGCGATCTTTATCCATCTTTAACTTTACAATAACTGTCTGCAAAAAGTAAGAAAATTTGAATTTAATAAGGATCGACGTTTACTATTTGAAAAAACGACATATAATGAATATAAAATCAGTGCCAAACTCTCTGCAGTAAAAAGACTAAGCAAAACAACATCATCAATACGTAAGAGAACCTTACGTATCGATGTCATCATTATGCTACAAGTCTGATTCTATGTGAATGGTTTAGTTCATCATTTATTAAAATGACGTTATTATTTTTGTATAGTAAAACAAAAAATTGTTTATTACCTTGGATGGATCAATACCAACATATACATTAGCACTATTAGCCTTTTCTCGTTGAATTCTTTCTATGTATATGACAAACTTTTTCCTATACACTTGGACAACCTTGCCCACCTGTTGACCTTTGTAGTGACCACGTACAACCTGTTAAAATAACAAGACAAATATTTAAGATAAACAAAAACAATAGAAATCAAATGGTTTATTGGCGAATAATGTTTCGATAATTAAACAATTTATTCAATTATCTAATAAAGTCGAGCCACATTACCTGTACTTCGTCATCCTTTCGAATAGGCATAGTTCGAACATTGTATTTTTGTCTAAGTTCTTTTGAGAGAGGAGCTGACATAAGCCTTCTACGAATATGAGATGGAGCTGTAAAGTGCCTCTTTCGATTTTTTCTGCGCGACGAAGAGACGAGTGGATTGAACTTCATCTTTGCTGGGAGGATACCTGCAAACAAAAGATTACTGTTTGAATAACAATTACAAATTTTAACAGATGCCTCCAATATCACGTGGTTTCCAAAACGTTGATAGTAACTAGGGTTACTTCGCGATACAAAATGTATATACGATTTGCACGGTTTCTCGAAGAGGAAGTAAATCTCTGTAGCCGTGTGTTAAGAAATATGTATCACAATTCTTGTAGAAACTTATAACGTTGAAACTGTCTATTTCAGTTCGATTGAAACCGATTTTGCATCCAACGGACTCACCGTTTGCGGTTCTGTTTCGTGACCTCCACCGGAAGAAAGGCCGTCGTCCCACCAGCGCCGGAAACTGCCGGGACGGACGGGAAACATCTGAATGTAATTTGAGTACAGAACAATTTAATAAATAGCTCCGATTGGTTGTATGTACTCATAAAAAATTGATAATTTAGTGTTTTCCCTCATTTCGACAGAATAGGATGCGGAACGCATCCTATTGTCTTGCGAGGGTGGCGTAAACTAGGGACACTAATTGATAATTTATGAGTTTATTCATTTGCAAATGCATTTGGCAATAAAATAGCTATCTTGTATGTATGTAGGCACATACATACGTAACGAATTGAAAGGATGTACATACATACACATATATACAAGAATGACGAGGATAAGTATAATTTTTATCGAATACACGTATCACCCTAGTTTCTTTCTTATTTTCCCTACGTCGTTCTAGTTCTTTTTAATTTTCCCGTAGGCACGAAATTTGGAGGAGGTGTTGTTCGTTTCTCTGACACAAGACGACGTAATGTAGTAGGTCGGAAATTTGTGTCGTCCATAGTAAATGGTAGGTGGTTGTGTCGTTTCGAAGTCACGGTATTACCATTTCCAAGGTCTTGTGAAAATATCGCAGTTATGGGGCTATTAATTGCGCGAAAATATTCGACGTATCGTAAAGATGGAGTGAGTAAATAATTAATCGATACACGTATTGTTCTTTTTAAAGAAGCTAGTGTTATTGTTTATGTTTCGATTGTGAAATTTAAACAACGCAATATGTAAGTATATTAGAATTTACTTGATAGGATTCTCAAAATAGTTGTTTTTTGTCGAAGCCATTTGTAACGCGAGATTAAATTATAATTTAACGATTGATAGGAACATAAGTACTTTGTACAGCTTTACTCTTTTTTGTTGTTGTTTGGATGTTGTTTGATCATTTTTTGTACATATTTACATGTACGATTTATCGCCAACAACGAACAAACATATTAATAAAAATTTCTTGTCGACAAGGAACAACAAAAGCTGGTTGTTAAGATCAATAGCTTCGAGGAAGAAGGAAAAGTCTCCGAAAATACGTATCACACAGGGAATGTAATCCGGAATACAATGTAGAGGATTTAAAACTCGAACGAAAATCGTGTTTTTTTCCTCGTTTGAATTACACAGATCGTGTATTGTTAGGAAAATTAATGAAATCAGTTCCATATAATACATAAATGTGCACACTTGTCAACCTATCACGTTTTGTTGTTGTTTTAGGTCAGTAGAAGAACGTGCAGGTCGGTCTCCTAGGAAACGATTTCATTCCGGTCGATAGATTTTTGAACAACGATTTTCGGATAATTTTATTGACAATATTTCAACGTAATGCCTGGAAGTGTGATTTAGTTGAAGAAACAAGAAAAACCGAAAGGAAGAATAGGTGTTTAGCTGTTGTCATCGAACAGAACACAAACGAAAATAAACATTTGCGGAAACGTAATATGGGCTCCACGAGACAGCAAGATAGATTACTCAGCGGTGGAATATCTTTGCCACAATGGATGAAAGGGAGAGCTGACAACAGGTGTGTGTGTTGCACTATGAATTTTCCTCAACATTCAAGGACCATCTATAAAATTTCAATTTGTATCATTGCTTTTTGGTTTATTGTAAATCAACATCAACCGATTGCCAACAATGAGGGACAATCCTTCTAATTGACGGAGGAAATTTTATGTTCGTACAAACACTGAATATCATGAAAGTCTTTAGAAGCAGAAGAGAATTAAATACGTTGTACCATTTAATAACTCCTTTTTCTCCTTGTTTGTTTGCTTATTTTTATTCGAGATATATCTAAGAATGTATCTATATGTTTATTTAATATACACATAGAAAAAGTATTTATAGGCGAAATTTGGCCAATGCGAATAACGAGTTCGCGTGGCATGGGCATTGTGCCCGCTATTCTTAGAAACATGACTCTGTTGACGAGTGCACTCGTTCGTGATTCTGGTGCGGTGCAGTCTTTGTATCGTTGTTTCGCCATAGTTGCAACCTATCGGTTGATCAGTTAGTCCATTCGACAAACTTCTACCAACGTGTTTTCGTTTACGTAAATCAACACGTGTGCCCAGAAACGCGTTTTTGGCTGGCTGGCCGAGTATCTTCACGAACGTGAAGATGATCCATGGAACTATGCACCACCACAGAAGAGTACGTGCCGTCACGAAGAAATCTGTCAACAAGCATTAATCGAAAGATATTGGTCGGTAAATGGATCAACTATAATAATACAGTTAGGAAAGTTGTGTAACTTTTGGGTTCTAGATATACAGATGTATCATGTGAATCATGTGAATCATGTGATCGGTGTATTTTTCATTTCGTAACAAGCTGTGATGAGCTGTGGGTACCTTTAATTACTTTTTTTTCATCGGATTATTTTAACTTTTCTCCTTTTCCTCTGCTTTTTACAGATTCGATTTCGACGAGAGTACATTTAGCCCGCCATCTCACGACGATAGCTTTTTCTACATACGGTATCCAAAGACACAGAATCGGTTGGGTGGTTCGGAAGAATCTCGATCGATCGACGAGGTCCTCGCCGGACAAGCCGTCGCTTCATCGACGGCTCCTGTAACCGCGGAGAAAGATACACTTGTTGCCGATCAAAAGAAGAGTCAAGAAATCGATTTTAGCAAGCATCCTATAGCGTGTCAACCATTTGTACCATCTTCAACAACGAATAAAGGTAAGAATCAAGGGTCGCGTTACATATATCGTCTACTACCTATTTATTCGATAACATTTCAGATAGCGAGATCAGGTATGCGAAGAGTTTGTTGACTGAAAACGTCAAAGCAAAGTCCCAGGGTATAGACGATGGATTTCACGGCGAACCAGCCCTCTGTGGAAAATCGATCGTTCTTGTAGCCAGTCAGATGATGTCTAATAAATTTCATGAAACATTCACGGCCGAATCGGCCGGAAGTGAACTGAAGAGAGGGAGCAAATCGTTGCCGGTTACACCGATTGCTTCTCCTGCTCAGAGTCCCAACAGTTCGCCGAAGGCCCGTCGTCGCATAACATCCAATCGATATTTCACCGGTTCCTTCCTTCTCGATCGGGAGAAGTATCAAGGGGGTTCGATCTTGGCTTCGATATTAGGACAATCCAGAGAGATTGTTACTGCCAAGATCGAGGAAGAGGATGAGACGAACATGGAAATTCCTATGCCGTCGTCCAGAGCGCTCAGTCGAAAACGATCTATATCCTCGCAGAATCTGACCTACGTCGGAACCGATGAGAAATCAGCCGACAAAGCAACGATTTCTACCAACGCGATGCGATCAAAACCATCAGAATTAAGAGAAATGAATTTCTGGTCACCGACCTCGATGTAATACGCTACGCTATCTTGTCTTTTACGCTATCACTGATACGTTTATTCATTTCAGCTTGAAATTTGTTCGTCTAATAATAAAGAACAAATTAATAATAATAAATAATAATAACAATAATGATAATTATAACGTTGTATCGCAACAACAATGAATAATAATAATAGTAATAATAAGATTACATAGTTGTTTTACAGTTGTGTAAAATAATAGTTCAATAGATATTTGTTCGTAGTTCTACAGGGTAATCCTCTGGCTAGGGGACAGAAAGGAACTGCACGCTGGCACGTGACAATACGGACCTCTTTATGGTGTGGTCAAGGGGTCCATTGTCGCCAGTGTTCCTTTGTGTCCCCTAGCGAGAGGATCATCCTGTATAGGTTTATCGCGTTTCTGTCAAACAACTGTCACGTTCCTGCGTGTCTAGCCGTACGGATTGTCCTCGTTAGCGTGCGCTTGTACGAACGCAAGACCCGTACTTTCTTTGGTTCACGGTAGTCAACCAGTTAATACTTAACAGCAATATACATTCGATTAGGTAATGCATATTTGATTATATTAGTTCAATTATTTAAAAACAGCCATGCTTACGAGAAAGAGAGATAAGGAGTGGCGATTTCGATCGCTATAGCAATAGCCAATTGCATTGTTGCTAAATAGAACGATCTGTTTAACGTATCAGAGAATGAAACTAATCTGTTTTTTAGTTAAAGACGGAAGCTAAAAGTTACCTGCTACAAGAAGTACATAGTTCATCACTTTTAGTCAACTATTATTTCGTTTCACTTATTTCTAGCTGGAGTAACGAACAAAAGTAATAAGAAACAACTCTATATACCATATCATGTATGATATAAATATGTAAGGAAGCATTTCGAAGAATGTTGTTCGAAATGTTTACCATGCAAGCGAAAGTATTGTTAATAATATAGTAACGCGGACATTTTGGAAACATCGATATAGCGATGGTGATAATGACCGTGTAACGGTGGTTGTAAGCCGGGTGATTAACAATTAGTATCTGTTGAAGCATTACCTGTGGCCGTGTTAGTTGTTTGATCGTTAAAAAAAGCAACATCGACTGTCTTGTAATAACGAAAAATAGGGAAATTATTATTCGGAGACCTCGATATACCCTTGCGCGACATTCCTACACAGCTGGATCATGAAACTGAAAAGGAGAAAGTTGTAACACGATTATAAGGACGGCTAATTTAAATACATCTTATTGTTAGTGAAAACAATTCAATCTACGACAGGCTGTCGATCAGCTACAAAATGCTCCAAGCTATGAACAATAGAAACTTTCGATTCACATATTGTATGGTATTTTATAGAAAGATAATAAATAAAAGCGATCTTCTACGCAAAATGTTTCACTTACTTTTAATCACTCGAGTTGCCAGCGCATGTTATTCCATGTTCTCCATCTGGTACCACAACGGTGTTGGATATCGAGCAACAAAAATTCATGTTAGTTCACTGGAAGAAAGAAGAAAGAGGAACAGATGAAAAAGCGGTACGATCACTGTGCCTCCGGGCATACTTCTCATTGTCAGAGAAATCTCCGAGTAGTTGGCCATGTTCGTACTGTTACACTTTGCCAATGTCAATTGCGTAACTGCTGCGGGCAACGATAGGCCGATTACGTTCCCATTCACTTTGGTTTAACGTTGTTTCGCTAACCTTCTCTCTTCTGCTTTTTTTTTTCTTGCTGTCTGCTTTTCTTTCGACTCGTCTCGTCACAGGTTGAAGCTGAACCAATCTACGTGTCTCTGAAAGCAAATAGTTCAAAGATGTTAGAATTTTTTCACTCGTTCAAAGGGAATCGTATTGTTTTCATCGTAATAATTAATAATTAATTAGGTAAGTATACCATGTTCCATGAACAGTCTGCATTCATAACATATTCGTTGCGCGATTCTGCACGATACTAACTCGTAATTCTATAAGATGGCTTGATAGCGAGACGTATCGGTTGCGATTCGAGATACTCTTAGATTGGCCAATTGCACGAATATCTATCCGTCTTGTGCACTAATATCCATCGCTATACAACGATAGCAAACGTTCTGCAATCCTGTATAGACGCAGACTGGGTATCGAGTACGCTTCAGTTTCATATGCACTCATATGCATACACGCATGCATTTTCGCAATATTGGCCGGTTGTAAACCATCTATACAATACGGCTGCCTTTGGTCACTCGGATACTCGATATCAAGTTTTCGGGGAAAAAATGCTTCTATCCGTGTATCCACCAAGGGTAGGTTTACTAGATCTTAGGTATAAATAGGCTGGCACATTAACGATAAGCATTCAATTCATTCGTTGCTTTTGCACAGCAAGGAAAGAAGCAATACTCTACCTGCATCAACATGTTTAGGGTGAGTAAACGCTTGAAAAACATTTGGGTCGTGTTTTTCATTATTTAAGTACCTACATACTAATTTTCTCGCAAAGAGTAATAGACACGACACTTAGAAGCGAAATAACCGAAGGTTAATCTCAAAAGGGGGTTGCGCGCGGTCGGGGTATGACTGTTTGCTGAAGGAAAGACAATGGGAAACAAAGGGAAAAGGGACAGGAAGAAAATAGAGAATGGAAAATAAAATAATGATCTTTCGTTTTGTTACAGTTCTTGGTAATCTGCGGTTGCTTGCTGGCAGTCGGGCAGGCTGGAGTAATCGGTGGTGGTTTGCTCGCAACCGCGCCTACAGCGCTTGCTGTGCAGCCAGCAGCAGCGGCGGCAGCCCTTCCTTTGAACGCAGCCGCGGTCGCGGTACCAACGATTACAACATCCACCTCTAACGTGATAAGGGGTATCGGTAACTTAGGTGCCATATCGTCCTACTCGAAGAGTGTAGATACGCCATTCAGTAGCGTCAGGAAAGCGGACGTGCGCGTTAACAATCCTGGAATCGTGACGGCGACCGCTGTGCCCGCCCCAGTAGTCGCGGTCGCTAATAGCGCTGTTGCAGGTACCTGATAGCTGGGTGCCAATTGACAATTTCTAATATTCCCCTGTAACCTCTATTTTATCGTTAGGGTACCTACTTTTTTTCTCATTTTCTTTACACCCACGATGTCAAGACGACGCAACATAAATATGTGCATACGGTCGAGCATCCGAAAGATCGGGCGCTTGGCAATCGCTTGCCGACACGCTTCCTCTCTACTCATTAGAACCGATATTATTAGTCCGCTTTTCTTATATTTCTTGTTCTTCCTATCATTCCAATTTTGTCACTTTTTCTACTCTTTACACTTTTCTGTTCTTCTTTCTTTTCTTTAGTATAGTTACCGTTCTACTTACTTGTCGTTAAACAATCTGCGTTCCGTTCAACGCGACACATTTTTTGCATCTGTATCGGTTCTGTTTTCGATCAAACATTTACGCCGATCTAAAACGATTCACGTTAATTTATCATAATGTATCGATTACATGTTTTCAGCTCCTGTGGCTACTGCTGCCCTTGCTGCACCTGCCCTACTCGCCCCTGGACTGGCCACCGCGATCGCCCCGACCATCGCCACCGGCATTGCCGGTCCTTTGGGACTCAATGGATTGGCTTTGAACGGCTTGGGAGCTGTCAAGGTTCTCTAAGGTCCATATGCGAACAAAATTACGTGGACTGTCGTGAAAGATTCGACGAAAATTCGATTCTTTACCGATGTCGACTGCACCTTCTTAACGTTCTTACCCTCGATAAATTTGCACCGTTTCGGCGCAAACGATCTACATGTCACAGAATGTAATAACGGAGCATCGAATAAACGTAAAATCGTTACGATAAACAAAGTCCTTATTCTATCTATCGTTCGCTGTTTCCCATCCACCGTTGGATTCAACGAATCTGATAAGAGGCAACGAGGAATGGAAAAAGGATAGATGGGGCAATTTGGAATTGGAAGCGAAGCGGAGCAATTAACACGTTTTCGATTCAGTTAGATTTGTTGTATTTAATAAATAAAAATAGAAAATGTATCAGGTATAGAAATACAGGTTGGTTTTCGTGGTGGAAATACATTGTCAAAGGGTTGTCACATCGTGTCGATTCAAAAGACGAGATGATAGTCGAATTACCAGGAATAGGAGACACCGATGGGGCTACTGTATGCCATGTGCGAAACAGCAACTGCTGGAGAATATGCGACACCAAGGAGCTGGTTTGGTTGAGCGGCGAGTGGGGCTGCGGCTGCCAGGGGTGCTGCGTGGGTAGCATAAGCCAAGGGAGCGGCTTGGGCAGCGTAAGCCAACGGGGCGGCGTGGGCAGCGTAAGCCAACGGGGCGGTGTGAGCGTAAATTGCCGGGTTTGTTACACGAATGTCGGATTTGCTAGAGCTCGAAAACGGTGTGGAAATTGTTTTCGATTGGGTTGCAATCTGTGCCAAATTTCCCGAGCTACGAAGTATGTTGTCCGACGTGGATGTCAAAGCCGCGGTGGTCAAAGTGTATTGTCCAGCGGCGGGCACTGGTGCTAAGATGCCGGCATTGCACAATGCCAAAGCGCAAGCGAGTATTACGATCTGCATGTAACAAAAAGAAACAAAATTAGAAGAATTTAACGAGCACAGCTTGACGATTCGATCGGTGCGAATCAAGCTGTTACTTTTGATCACTTAATGCTTACCTTGGAGAACATAGTGAATCGATGGATTGGTTTGCTGGCTCGATTGCTCCTGGACAATGTACGAAAGCAAATGCGTGTCGATCGTTTCGTAGCCGAAATCTTATATAGGCCGAAACACTAAGCGAGCGTGATGGACATTCCGTTGAATCAGGTGGGGTACAAGGGCGTGTTTCGATCGGAGACCGAAAAACTTTCGCCGTAACATCATACACGCAATCGTTTGTCCGCTTTTCTCCGCCACGCCCGATCCCCTTTTCTTTTTTTTCTTCCTCCCAACAAAATCGCCAACTTATTCCCTCCGACCTTGGACTAAAAATCCAAAACCGTCGCAACAGCAACTGGTTCGGTTGTGGAAAAAGAACACCACAAGATCCGCGTTTACTCTGTTCTCATGTATCCCCCTCTTGCCAAATTTCTTGGCTGGAGTACACTGATGAAAATGATAACGTACTATTTAACCAGCCGTTGCTCTCGCTTTCGAAATCTTATGTATATGCATACATCCTACGTTTATTTCATCTATATCGTATTTCTAATCGGAAATGGGAAAGTTTTTCAATTTTATACCACCGCGCCGTTTAAAATTGAAAACGCTATGTCAGTAATTTCTTAAAAGTTATCACTAAAGCTAAAAGAACAAAACAGTGATTCTCTCTGGTTAATACCTACATATTTATGTAGTTAGAGTAATATATACGATCTTCGAATTCATATCATCACGCGTTCAAGACAGAAATCTGTTACAAAGGCCTTTCCGACGAGTTTATTAGCAAATTTTGGGACAAATCGTTTTCTCGAAATATTTTAAATAGACCGCTACAAAACGGTACCACTGGTACCATCAAGCGACAAACGAAAGAACTAATGGAGCCGAAAATGAGTTTATCGTTCTGAACCATAGAGGGCACAACCGAACAGTGACGAAAATGAGGTTTTGGGAAAGGTCGGTATTTCAGTTGGGATTTTGTGACCAGAGAATAAACCTGATCGGGACTCTAGCGGGCTAGATTTTCAGAAACCAAACATTAAGAGTTTAGCCAACAACACGCCAATCTATAAACCTCGTATTATCCAGGAGGTGACGGTTTCCGATGACGTCATTTATCGGGACAACATCCCTCGTTCCAAGGATATCAGTACAGTCTGAACAGTCTGAACTGATTTGGAGGAACGGTCTTTAAGTGTTTAGCTGTTTTCTCGAATCAATTCGTCGTAGAGAAATATTATATTCAGAGCATTATAACACGGAAAATAAATATGTTATAATCATTTGTGGTGAAGAACTAACGTTTGTAAGAAAAAGAAAAAAATACAAAGCATCTCGTGGATACGCAACAAGCGTCAATGCGCGAGATACACATCGATTTCACCGGGAAAACATGAGTGACGGAAAGAATACAGTGAACAATGTAAGCTCCATGGATAGTAATGGGCTTCGAGTGCAATATCAATATTTTTTTAGGACAGGTGAGTATTGAAACATTGTTACTTACATGTAATAATATAATTTGATTCGAGCATCGAACTTAATTCAATCGTTGGTCATAATAAGAAGCTCAAACGTATTCTCTTCTTAATGTATTTATATATCATCCTTTTAAGAATTTTTTTGACGATTAAATGTAAGTAATTGAAAATATTAATTTTATGTTCACCGTTTTAGGTTTTTTTAAATACATTTTAAGTGTTTTGTATAGTTATGCAAATAGTAAATAATTCTCTTGTATATATCAAGATTCATATAATATCTAATAATCACCACCTGTTACTATCATACAGTATCATATATAAAGTGTAATATAATTTCATTAGGTTTAAAATAAACAAATGCAACTTTAATTCACATATATTATGCTTTGTACAATAAAACCTTGCTGAATTAGTTGCTTTGAAATAACTACATATTAGGCCATGTCCTTTTTCACTGTCTGACCCATGAAAATATACTTATTGCTTAGTATTATCAATTAATTTTCATCTTGATTAAAAATGATTAACATTCTGTTGATAAAAATGACATATTTTATTGTATTTTTATTATTTTTAGTAAAAAATAAACAGTCTTCCTTAGTACATTTTTTTCAATTAGTTCTATTATTCTCATTAGTCACACATCCCATATCCTGCTATCATCTACAGTTAAAAAAACATGTACTGTTCAATATAAATAATATTATCGTTATAAAGATGTACGACGGAAAACAAAGGACATGGCACACCTGTAGATATGAAATGCCGGACTAGTGGAAATTGAAGAGTAGAAAATAATAAGCAGAAGGCTGTAGTGCAGAAGCTAGAGAAAGAATTGATCAGTACTTAGTACCATACCACGCAGGAGTAAATAAGGATAATGAGTCACGCTCAGCAGCATGTACTTGCAAGCGCAATAGTTTTGGCTCTAATAGTGGTTGTTGGTATCCATGTCTTCCTGTTTCCCATGTACACATCCAACCCACCAGCACGCCATGTAAAGATTTCAACGTATGAACAAGCTCTTTGTCGTACCACGTTAAAGAATATCAGAGTACCACCGGAATGGAGAAACCCTTGTCCTAAATATGGAATAGTTTCTGCTGTCCAAGGTGGTAGGCTTGGAAATCAAATTTGGGAATATGCTTCTGTATGGGCTACTGCTAGAAGAACTGGTTTAGAGCCATTCATGCCACGTTGCATATTGAAAACTCTTGAGGAATACTTTGAAAATCTTAGCATTCCACCGCTCAGTTACATTGGATGGTGCAGTTTAGATGTTAGTCAAGTTGTTAATTCTCTTGGGCAATGGAACAGCACAGAGCAAAACATTATCATACCGAGGTAAACATTCCTATTTCATTTGTTTTAGTTTATATTGTGCATTACAAATGTTTCTGTTGACAGACATGCAGCTTACTGGTCTCTAATCTTGGTGTGGTTGGATGATGTACGAAGAGAATTTACATTTAAGCCAAATTTAAGAGCTTACGCAGAAAGGGTATTGAAAGAAGTAGCAGAAGAATTTTATTTGTCTGAACCAACATTTGTAAGCATACATGTACGAAGAACCGATTATGTAGACTATCTATGGCAGAAGTTGAAAATTAGGCCAGCACCTGTTAGCTATTATTTTGCAGCAATGGATTACTTCGTCGGCAAGTATAATAATGTAGTATTTGTAGTAACTAGTGATAATATAGTTTGGTGTAAGTATAATTTATATAGTAAACGACATAGAATCAAATTCGTATCCGATGTGGATGCAAAAGGTCCGGGCAAAGATCTTGCAGTTTTATCAGCATGTAATCACAGTATTATAGACTATGGTACATACGGTTCGTTTGGCGCTATCTTGGCCGCGGGTGAAACTGTAGTATACAATGTAACGACATACTTTTCGACGTTGATTGCCGAAGTTTTGCCAAACTGGAGAATAATGAGTTAAACAAAAATCAAAAAGAGAGAAAACACATTTTATATATACTTTATTCAAAATATTTTTTATACCAAATCAAACAATGATTTTGTTCAATTTTCGAACGCGAGAATTATATTCACTATTACTTCAAAATTAAAACTGCTCAACAATTAAATTTTTTATACTATCTTTTATTAGAAAAAAACATTCATTTATTACTAACTTTTGCAAAATTAACGTTTCTTAAAATATTTTATTTGTTATTTCGATATACACACAGTACATCATTAAGATGTTTATTATGTCGTTATATCTCTTCAAAAATTGTTAAAACAGAAAAAAAAACTAAATGAAAGTGTAGCATTATAATCACAAAATTTATATCAAAATAATATAAGTATGATGCTGATAAATTGCTTAGAAACAGTGTGCATAAGTTTTCACTCGATTATAGCACTGTTAGATAAAATTTATAAACCAGTGCACCTTTGATGGTAGTAAGAGAATTAAAATATTTTAAAGAGTATATAAAAACCTAATATAGTAGAAGAATACAACGGAACAATGGACCACTAATGTCTAAAATTAAAACAGATGCTTATTTTTTTTACTACTGTAATTCGTATTCATGAGGCCAAGAAAAACTGAATAGATTCGATATTCTTTTAACATAATGAACCAATGAACTGAGCCTAATTTAAAAATTCACAAGAAAGCTTTACAGTGGTCGGAATTAAATACGAAAATCTTTTGATGGGCATATTATTTTTAAAATCATGATTACACAATAATCGGGAAACAAAAATAGTTAAATTAAAATGTATTATTATACGTTGAATTCGTCTTTCATATAAAGTTACAATCGAACTTGCAGATATAGAAAAGAAATATAGTAACAACCTATATAACTCTTATAATGTACAATGATTTTAACTGTGATTCTATTTCTTATTGTGCCAAATTCTTAATATACATATAAAAAAAGAATATATATATATGAATATAATAAACATATATGTGTGTACGAATAATACACAATTTATACGCGTGTATACAGTATCGAACATGGTAGGCTTCTCTAGAGAAAATGCCATTACAGGAGAAGCAGAAATTCTCAAAACCCCAATTTTGACGATATTAATATTTAAAGTTATTTAGAAAACAAAATTATGTAATATTTAATTGTTAAATATAATAAAATTTGATATATAACTGAAAAGTATGAATAACAAAGTAAATACTAATTCAAATTTTCCCGCGTGGGGGAATGCTCGTGGGCCGTCACAGGTCTATATATACAAGGCCCCCCACTATACAATGTCAGTCTCCTCGGAACCGTCCGAGAGGATGGCCGAGATCCTGGAGAAGGAGATCCTTACGGTAAGGCCCATCCACCCCGGAAATTCACGGGGGAGGGGGTATCGCCATTTTTCGTGGGTAAGCCTACTGCTCGATGCTGTACACACACATATATAATAAAATTGTATCTATACAAGGTATTATATAATGTTTTCAAACTTTAAAAAAATAAGTTATTTCCTCAAACAACAGCTTAAATATTTCTGAAACCAACAAAATCAATAGAAAGGTACTTTACATAAGCCAGCCTATATGTGTTTCAACTTCATTAACCATGTGACCTGATATATTCGATTTATAATATTTTATAAATTAGATTAGTAGATGTGTCTATGTCTGTATGTTAATATATATATATATAAAGGCATTTTCAATATAATTGTGCCTGTTAGTTGTTAAATATTAACAAATATAATATAAAAATGATTAATAAGATGTGATAGAAAAATGGTATCTATTCATAACTTAAATAAATAATGAAATTACAAATCAAATACAAACATACAACTATCAGGCATCAATATGATCTACTCTGTACATTCTGTGATAATTTTATGTAATTTCTAAGGAAGAAAAATAAAACAGATGCACTGGAATCACGTGTTTCACAAAATAAAGATATTCTGCATCTTGTTTCACTAATACTAAAAATACACTTATTAATGGATCGAAAATATATATATATATACAGAGTAATTAAAATATTGAGTACAAATCAGTTTGTTGAAATCTTATAGACTAGCGATTTGCGGTAACAAGACCAGCTGGTCCTGTGCCCAATTTTGTAGTTATTCCTTTTATTTTCAACGGTTGAAAGCCAAGTTCACTTTTTGGAATGCCATATTCTTGTAACTTAGCTTCATATGTTCGAAGCAAATCATCATGCGCTTTACAAACCTTTGCTAGTTCATACTGAAGATCTTGTATCGCGCTATTTTTTCTGTTTAACATATTCTGTCGAAAAAAGAGCAAGTTAAATGAATGTAGAAAAGAAAGAAGCATTAATATTACGTACTTCTAGTTTCTTATTAACATTGGCAACAGCCATTGGATCTAACTGAGCAGCAGCAAGCACTTCGCTGATCTGTACTTCACGTTGTTCTAACAAATCCGATAACTTTTCAAGTTTCTTCTCTAGGAGAACGTTTTTCAATCCTGTCTTTTGTTGAAGCTCAAGTATGGCTGAGACAAATCTTGAATGCAATTCATCTCTTTCGGATTGACACTAAACCATAAAATTTTAAGTTTCAATGAAAATGAAAAAGAAAATCTTTCCACTTAAATACAAAAATGGATTCATTGTTAGTATACTTTTTCAAAACGTAATTCTAGTACTTCATTTTCCCATTTTAAATTTTCGAAATCTTTCGAAGTTAGTGCTAATCTCTTTTTAATGCTCTGAAAGTATTAAAGGTAACATTTAGCTTTAGAAAATATTAATAATGATTTTGTGTGAATAAAAAACTGTTGTTACTAACTGCTAAGCTTTGTTTATCTTTTTCGTAATTTGCAAGTTGATGAGTTAAATGTGCTAAGGTTTCTTCCTGAGATTTTAACTCTGCAAAATATTTTTTATTCTCAGCTGTCAATTCCCGTACTTGTTTTTTCATCCGTTCTTCATTGCTTCTCATTACTTCCATTTGTTCCTGTAAAATTGATAGTATCATAAAATTAATGACTTTATCCTTTTTTATTAATCATACCTTCATACTCTTTATCAGAGACAAATTGTTAAGGGTAATATCATTATAATAAGTTTTCATTTCTGCAAATGCGGTTTCATGATTCTTGATTAAATTTGCAATTTGTGTATTTTTTCTCTCTTCTATTTCAGTTATTTCCATACGATGTTTTAAAGTAAGAGATTCATACTGATTGGCTAACTTCTGTTCATATTTTTGTTCCATCTCTATAGCTTCAGTTTCAAATTGTTTTATCAGTTTGTCTGTTTCCTCTGCATTTTTCTAAATAATAAATTTTCATTTATATAAATGGATTGATTCTAATAATTAAAATATGGCATTTTTTCCATACCAATTTCAAAGCACGTATTTCATTCACATGTGCTAAATCTTGTTCTTTTTGTAGTCTCTTTAATTCCAACTTATCTTTGATTAATTCATTTTCTTGGAGAACATGGTCATCTTGTGCTATTTTAAGTGCAACCATGTGATCTGCTTTAGTTTCTGATAAACTTGTCTGATGTTCATACATTAAATGTTTCACTTTCTGTTTGTACAATTTAAGTTCCGCTTCATGTTTCTCTGCAAATTCTTCTTTTTCACGTTCTTTATTCCTTCATAAAGGATATACATTAGTTGAATTTTCAATTAAATGTTCTAGATAAATGTGTTGGAATGATACCTGATAGTTGCACGTGCTTCATCTAACTGGCGTCTTGTAATTTCCCAAAAAGTTCTAAGTTTATCTCTTTCCAGTTGAAAAAAATTTCGTTCTTCCCTTTCACGTTCCATTTCTTCAAGTATCCTATGTGCATAAATTTCCAGCTGTTCTCTGTTCATTTTTGTTGTGTCTACTCCATCGACCATAGCAGGTGCTTTTGCTTTTGCTTTTTTGGGTCCCTATAAAATTTCAGTGTAAGAAACTCGATAAGTTTTTGATAAAACATTCAAAAACTTACCATTTTTACAAAATGTTAATATCAGAAGAATAATAAAATATCACAAAAATTGATATCAGTTGCAATTTCAGTGATTAAAAATAAAAATTTAGCGAAACAAGTTACAAATGAAGATGATATAAACTATCACTGTAAAACACTGATATTTTTATTTTATAACTTCACTGACAAGTAATATAAACGTAATTGCAAAATCGTTATGTGACTTCAAAGTGAAGTTACTGTGTTTTGACAGAACAGTTGCTAAGTAACAGAGACTCACAGGAAATATGTAAAATACATGATATAGTATACAGGGTTATACCACATTTTTTTATATAATAACATTTAACAATGTTTCTCTTATATAATTTTGAAAATAATTAAGGTGCTACTAGTTCACCCTGTATAATACTATAAAATGTAAAATACTTTATTTCTTAATAACGTTATTATATTATTATAAATCTTATATATAAAAAATGCAATAAAACACAGTAAATGCATGCAAATTTGATAACACAGTAAAAACAGTATCTTTAATTTTGTAACAACAGTTTATACTTTCTAACATTTCATGCCAAATATGGAAGCATTTATTAATACAAGAAAATTACATTTGTTTCTGTTCCGTAGAAATTAACTTTAAACAAGTTTTCTGTTATTTCTGTAGATTTATATAAATATTAGCCATAACGTTAAACACATCGTAAAATACATTTGTTTATATAGCGCTATACAAGGATTCTTGTAATAATTTCCATGATATTGTTTGTCACATTATAAATTATTTTGTAAAAAAATGTGTCTACATCTCAAGACACCGTATGTATAACACATTCAAATTCAATAATGATTAATACCACCTATTACATCACCCATATGATATTTTTCAAGTAACTAAAAAATGCATATAAGTAACCTATGAATGTGGCCACTGACCGTATATTTTGTATTAGGTTCAATAATCACCGTAACGTGACACTAATCGATTGCCGTATTTTACGTTTTTTTAATAATCAAATTAAAGACATATAAATAATAACAGGGGTTAAGTACTTACAACTGCAATTAATTCTTTCTTTTCTTGCGGGTTTTTAATAATTGGAAAATTCTATTTAGGATGCTTTCTATGTAAAACTCGAACGTGTATTTATAAAAACGTTTAGGAAATAAATTATGAGGTAGACCTAAGTTACTCATATAAAGAATATTTGAGTAAATTTGATGCGTTGAGCTTTGGTCCATTAAAATCTTGTATATAAACGCGCGTAAGGTTTGTGCCCACATTAGGTTTTTATGCGATTATCACGTAATATATATCAAAGTAATTCCCTAAAACAATATACTTATTTCTCAAAACTATAATAAATATGGTCATATTTGAAAATAATACAATTCTGACCATGGGCTTTTGCTATTGCTAAAATATAATGTTGTAACTACATAAATAAACAATACCTGAGAAATTAAATATTATATAACAAAAATAAATAATTATGTTAAATAATTGCATATTAATCTTTAAAAAGATTCGTTTTTGGAATGCTATATATTATGCACTTTTCTATAATTTTAGCTTGTTTCACCATTAAATTGGAGCAGACATCCTACTGCGCCAAAATAACCCTGCGAATAAAACAAAATTAACAAATAGAAATATTGCAAATTTTCGTATATATTACCTCATGTTCTAAGAACAAAGCTTTCATTGTTCCTTTAGACCAATAATCCATAGCATAGGCCAAAAGTTTCATTGATATAGGGTTTACCCTAAGGAAATTTCCTACAAACACTACCTACAAACATCATTTAGTATTACCAGTAATAATATAATCCGAAGAAAATAATTAATTAGGTGTTCAGTTTACCCTTTCAATTTTTTCATTCACAGCACACATACGTGCAATAGAGCCAATGTTGTTTGTAATAGTAACAAGTGTTGCGCGTGCAAGATCTTCTTTACTAACTGCATTTCGACGATCTTTAGAATTCATTTGTCCAAAACTGTATATGTGATAAAAACAATATGCAGGTAAATCTCTTAAAAAAATAAATTACAAAAGCGTTTACAAAATAGGTGAGAAAATAAAATAAATCGTACTGTAACATAAAGTAATTTATATACAACATTCGTTGTACTTTGCTTAATGAATGAAAAGAATACCTGCTTGCGACAAGATCTCCTGGAAGACCAAAAGGTCCATAATCTCCACCATAAATGTCTTTAACTAACTTGTCCACTCTGGTATTATCACCTCCAGTTGCTAATTCTATTGCCTCTTCAAAAGTATTACACCCAGTTAGTAAACAACATAATCCTAAAAATGTGCCACCACCTAGACTAAATATAAAATCAATTCGTTAGTATTAATGTTTAATATAATACTGTATACTCCTTCCATCACAAAAAAGCACACCTAGTTCCTGATATTCTTTTATAATTATCTGGCCCATAAACAGCTAATATGCTTACTCCTGATCCTATGTTTACAAGCTGTAAAAAATGGGTAATACATACATCAGAATATATCAGAATATATGTTAAATTTTATACAACTATACGTACCAAAAAAGGGTAGGGTTCAGAAAAATCATAAGGGATTTTTTGACATTTACTATCATCCGTAGGATGCGACCAATAATAACATTCATGTGGATTTGTCGTTTCTATATAAAGCATACCACGTATTAAACTATCTAACTCATCAAATTTTGCTAAATTCATGTTTACTTCCTGTAAACAACAAGATCCCTATAGTACATGCAGTTTTAAATACAATGAAATAAATCTGATAATGTAATAAAAAGTTGTATGTCTTACTTGTTTAAAATTTTTTTCAAATTTATATGCTCCACCACCAGTAGCACAAACTGTTGTTACAAGATTTGCCATACCCTTAGACCTTGCTAATGCTAGAAAATTTCCCATTTCACTTGTAGGAAATCTAATAAAATGTAACGTACCACGTCTACCTCTAATGCAGACATTATCCATCTATAATATGAATAATGTAATATAAAACAGATTTACAGTAAAGACATCATTAATGAAACATACTTGTAAATGTGTATCTCTGTGACCTGTTTTTCCATATGCCGAATTTTTAGTTAAATACCGCCGGATATTTTTCAAAGTCTCTACCTCTGCATTTGCTTCATCCCTTGTAATGTCTTTAGGTTCAAAATACACTAGTTTAGATAATGTACCTCCTATATCCATACCAAACCATGGCATTGCTAAAAAAATAAAAAGTATTATTATACCGTATAATATCAGTACATAAAATATTATAGTCAATAACAAACAAATGGCATTACAAATTATAATAAAGCAAACAATTTGTATGCACACAATAAAGGAAAACAAGCTACAATTGTATTACATATGTACAAAACATTATTGCTATAAAGCAAATAAATAAAAGAAGTAAGCAATAAGGTGTTAAACAATGGACTTATAATTCACATGTATGAGGATCACTTTAAAACAAATATTTATAATGTTTTCTTGAAATAAATTTTCACCATGTTATTGTTGAAGTGATACTCGTACATAAAAGATAATAATAATAATAAAAAATAAAAGTGGCTACTCTAAGCACACATACAATTAAATAACTCACAAGGTGATGAATGGTTTTTAGACTCAGCTGGAGTACTAGTACCAGTATAACCATTAGATGCCATAGCTTTTGTTGTGATATGACTTTTATAACTCTGAGGACTCATTGTTAAACTTTGAGTCATTTATAATATTCTCTAATATTATACAGGATCCTTTGACTGAAAAATAAAGATTAGGTCATTTTATTTTTAACAAATTATTTTAAGGTCACTTGAAAAAAAATGTGTATTATAGAAATTACAAGACCTAATAGATAACTTATTCTTAGAAGCAAAGAATTTTTAAGTGATTTTGAGAAACAACTTGCACATAAGATAGTGATATTCTCAGTTATAGCAAGTATCAAAGGTTACTCTTTAATCATGCATGTCATGAATTTAAAATACGAATATATTATATTTTGTTAAAGTTTTTCTACTCTCTATTAGAATGCTTTTTAAATATGTAATATTCAAGCTAAAAAATGGTAATAAAATACTTTACATTATTTATGGAGCCCTACTTTTTATTAAATAATCTTGAAGTCATAATTGTATAATTTTATTAAATGTATAATAATTTGAATCTTATATTCTTAAATCTAATTTGATCTTATTCTCATATTACTGTTTGTTGTTTACTACATTTATATATATATATATATATATATATATTTTTTATAATTATAGTAGAGGACTTCCATCAATAGAAAATTCTAAGAAGTTTTAATAGTTTGTATATTTTCAATCGTTCAGCATGAAATCGTTTCAAATTCATCAATTCAAATATAATTGCTTAAAAATAACAGATTGAAATATGTATGTTTATAATTAATTTTAATTAAATCATAATCATAAGTACTAATGGGTTAGTACTACTTGCAAAGTAACGCCATCGGTATTCGTAATGATCCTAGATGAAGAATCATACATACAAGCGTCGACATACATACGTATTGCCACGAGATTATTACGGTCATGTACAAACGATTTTTTATTGAATTTCAGACAATGAAGGAAAAAATGAAAAGATACTGATACTGAATAGATATTAACTAATGGTTTATGAAAACACGAAAGCGAACAAAATACACGCACCATTTCCCATGTCAGCCAACGAAGTGATCGAAAAAGTAATAACTGTATCCTATACGGTATAAGCAAAAGCAACAAAATAATTTGTCCTTACCTGAAATCGTCATTTCAAATGATTCACAATGAAAATGTTTGAAATTTATATAAAAATGATTATGAAATTCAACAATAAAAAGATCACTTAATTATTTTATTATTAAATGACAAATTTATGAACAAACATTACTGCATAAATATGTATTTACAGATTCATAGCTTTTTATAGTTGTAAATTATTTATTTTTCTAAATTTATATCACAATTACTGCTAATCTAGATGTAGTAACATCGCGTGATAACAGCTGTTCAATACTATCTCGAAAACATGTGTCATGAAGATAAATTGATACGATACTCCTTCCTTTAACCTTTATTAGCCTTTCAAATTCCCGGGATAATGCAAGACAGCAGTCGTGAAACCGTGAAAATGTTAGTTCAAGTTAATTTTTTTTATACCCACGTGTATGTAACATCAGACTGTTGACGTCATATATCCATGTTACCAAAGTTTGTATCGAAAGTATTTATAGTATTATCACGTAAGATGATACAGTATTATTATTACGAATTAACTTGAAAATTTCAGTATTACAGAATTTAGATTTGTCATTGATTTCCTTACTAGAAACTTGAATTACAAACTTTAGAGTAAGATAACTGTGTTCTTTATCGCTTATATATACTTGCGTATATGCGATTTTGCAATCATACGATCACGTGTTTTACTGATATAAGCAAAATTATGACTATTTTTGTTTTACATAATTAATTGGTAGTACCAAATTATAATTTTATCATTGTCGATTATATTCAATATAAAAATAGTATTATATGTATTGGAATTGATTTTTTATTATCTATTATAAATCTCAAATACACAATCAAATTTTTTATTTCTTTTAAAATCAATGAATAAACAGTGGCATAAAATATTTAATATTTTTATTGATATTCAGTATTACACATTTTTATTTATGTCTATCATTTAACTGCATTGGGCACGAGCCATCATAGAGATCTTCTGTGCCTTCTGTACTATGTCTGGACAATGTCTACGACGTACAAGTTTACAATCTTGAAAGAAACCTTCATTTCTAGGAAAGCCATGAGAGCCATCAGCATATGTGACTAATCCTGTAATTTATTGAAACAGTAGTTTATTGATTTAATATAAACCTTTTAATACTTATGTTTTACATACCTAAACCCCAGACACGGCCACCACGAAATTCACCTTCAAATTTCATTCCATCTGACCTCCAAAATACACCATGACCATGAAACCACCCTTGCATAAATTCACCTTCATACCTAATACATAAAAAACATGTTGAAGTTAACAACAGATACTCTACAAGACCATTTTTAAATATATTTACTTTGCTCCATCTGGAAACACTATTACTCCTAAGCCAGAACATAATCCATTTTGAAAACCACCATCATAACGTGTTCCATCAGGTAGAAGTAAAGAACCAGCACCGTGTTTTAAGCCCTTTGCATTCCAATCTCCAATATATTTTGTACCATCTTCGTATTTGTATGCACCATTTTTTACTACACCTATAAATAAATTTTATTATACTACAACACATTTTTCACAGCTTTTACATTTCTAGGAAAAAATTACTACAAGTCTTACCATCACCCATGCTTCTGGTATACTAAAAGCATTAAAGAGTAACTTTCAGGTTTCAATCCCATTATAGAAATCAATTCTTTATTCAATTATGTACATTATGTACAATATAACACAAACGTATTAAACTTCTTTAACTGTTGTACAAAAGTGACATCTTATAGTTCTGTATATAAATTTAAAAATATGCAATACAATATTGTTGTTAAATTTATATCTATTGCTATTAAATAAAAATGAATGCACATATATTTGTAAGTTACAAAATTGTTTTATCATGACTGATTTAATATAACTTAAAATAAACAGATCATTGTTCTTCAATTCCTCCTGGTGCGCCAACCAAAAACCATCGTGCTCTTGCTTTTGCGGCTGCTTTTCGGACTAAACGCTTTCGATCGTCAATTGAAACTATTAATTTATCTAACACATCTTGTCTGTACAGGATAATTGAAACCGTTGGATAATTGCAATAATTTGTTAAACATTCCAAAGCTGCAATCCTGATTTTCTAAAAAATTTAATAACAAAATGTATAAGATAGCATGAATAAGGGTATTTAATAATTTTATAAAATATTACCATTTTTTCATAGGTAGATAAATTTAAAAGTCGTTGAATAAAACGCTGTATATTTTCAGAAAAAATAGCATGTTTAGTCTCCAATAAAAGTTTCAATGTAGTTAATGCTGAATGGATTAACTGCTCATTGTCAAGACATAGAGATTCTATTAAAAGTGGAACCAACTGAAAAATATTTATTATTAAAATAAATTATAATAATTATATTTATATTTAATAATTACCTTTGTTAAATGCATAATCAAAAGTTCCATAGGTACTTCTTCTAATAGGTGCACCAATGCAGTTAAATAATTTTGTCTTGATGAATCTTTAAATTCCGAATTTTTGTTAATTAAATGTTCAAATACTCTTTGCTTGAAAAAGATTTTAATGTTACAAAAGTTTTCTTCCACTAAAACATTCTCTTGTCTACTTGTTAAAATTGCGTATTTTTGGGCCACATATTGACCTATTTGATCATGTTTTAAAATATCTATAAGCTAAAAAACAGTATTAAAAAATGTTAAGTACCATTAAAAAAATATTATTAAAAAAATTAAAAAGTTTACATACTTCATTTAAGAAGATTTCAGCATTACAGGAACCTTTTGTAATGATTGCTTTTGTTAACCATACTTGTAAAGCAGCTGCTGCTTGTTTCATTTCAGTATTAATATCTGACTTTAAGTCATTAGCTATTTGTTTTTTAAGATATGACAAAGTACTTTGAAAACATTGATCATTATCATTCATTTTATTTAATATTACAGCAAAAAATTCCCACGTTATGAGTTTTATATTTGAATGAATGTTATTAAGTTGTAAATTATACAAATTTTGAAACAAGCTTAGGCTTATTGATAAATTAACATATTGACGTAAAGGAATAAAAATATTCATTATAAAAATAGCGTCAATTATCGAAACTTGGTCACACAAAATTGTAGCATATTTGTTAACAACCTCTTGTTGTTCTTCGAATGTAAGGTTTCTTACAATTAGCCGGCAAATGTTTAATACTAGATCAAATCTCTGATCAACAGGATTCATTTTAAGAAGAGCCAACTTTTCAATGATATTACATTCATTACACAAATAATGTTGTATATTATAATCAACATCTTTTGCAACAACTAGCCTATGAAGACATGTTAAAGCTGTAATACTTATTTCAGAATTGGTAGCATTCGTTTGTAACACAATTTGTGGAAGAATTTCAATACCTAGTTCATATGTTTTAGCAACAGCTGTTAAAAGTTCTAACTTATGAATTTGTATTTCAGCTGTTTCTGCATCTGAAACATTTAAAATAAGGAATTTATATTCTCAAATTAAACGTATTAACTGTTAACAATAATAATTAACTCTATTTATTTACCAGCAGTTAATGAAAATCTTTGCTTCATTAAAGATGATATTTCACCTGGATACAGTGTAGCGAAGCTAAAAAGAGATATGTAACAAATTGTTTTTAATTCATTACAATTTGTTTTACTTAGATTACAAATTTTATCATAGAGTGAACTTCGATGCACTTTATTTAAATATGTTTTCTGTAATGTTAGTCCCAATAATAATAGTGACTGTAATTCTGTATCAGGCGTCGATAATTCGTTTAAATATAACTGTGGTATATCTGTCCATGATAATTCTGGAACATCTAAATCAAATTTCATATTATACTTAAAAGAGTTTCTTAGACTAAATATTGTAAGAAATATAATAAAAATATATTTACCCTTGATGTTAAAACTATGATCATTAGTAACTTTAATAAAATTGTTTAGTGTATTAACCAAAATAATTTTATCAGTTACTGTAGTTTTGGTGGAATACTGTCCAAGACATAATGGTACTATTGTTTGTAATATCTGTGTGCATGATTCTTTATTGACTATTGCTACAGATTCTAATAACTTCACAGATGATCCAAATAAACTAAGTTGTACATCGTATAAAGATGATTTTGCATCTGTGATTATATTATCAATGAAACTTTTACACAGCTCAGTATCAATTGATACAACTTCAATTATAGACACAGTTGCTTTTAAACTAGCATTCCTTATTTCTAGATCTCCAGTTGATATAATTTCTTTTCTTAAAGCTGACCATAATTCAGTCAAATAATGTTTAAGGCCTTTTACACCAAATGTTTGTACACCTTTGCACAACAAATTCAAAGAATCCAACTTGGCAACTTTAACATTGGAGAATAATTTATCAAGAATAAGTGGTATACAATGGCAAGCAAATTCTGGTACAGCACAAAGACAAGGTGCCAATTTTTCTGCCAAATCATCACGTGTTATTTGTAATCCCTGTGCTCCAGACTGAAACATGTCAAATCAAATTACAATTTGCACTTATAAGCGATGAATAATTAATATCTTGATTGCTTGATTTAATTACACTATTGAAGTCAACTGGAAAGTAACATGAAATGACTTCAAACATTTCTTCAGTTAAATGGCCTAATGAAAATTCTTTCATAAAATGTGGAAGTATGGTAAATATCAGTATAAGATTTTTAGGATCCCTTTCTCCATCAATAGTATTTATAATTGCATAAATCAAATCAGGTCCCATAGATTTTAAATCTTCTGTTCTGTTTTGTAACAAGATTGTAAGTATTAAATATATATTATAACGATCAGATGCTGATTGAGATTGGCATTGAACATTATCAAAAAAAGCTCTGAGTATATGTGCAGGTGAATCCTTGGGTAAATGATTCATTTGAACCTAAAATAAAAACTCTTCTTTACTTAGTTATTAAATCTAAGATTATAAAATGTATAACTTACAATTGTTAAAATTCCCTTTAATACTGTTGGTATAATAGTGTGATGATCTTTAAGTCTATCACAATAAAATTTAGTTAAAAAACATAATTCAGTTTCATTTAAAAAATCATTAGGTAAATGGGACAAAATAGTAGAAAGAGCATTAATGCCTTTTTCCCTTAAACTGACATCTTTTTCTATTAAAAAAGGTCCAAGCTCTTCCACAACAGCATGAAGTTTTGAATGTCCAGATTGTATTTCTAAATAAATAAAAATGATAACCATTATTTTTAAGATTCATAAATTTTATTGCTTTATTATATATTTAGAAACAAATTGAATAATCACTTTCTATAAAAAATAAATAATATATTTATAATAATACTAATTTATAATAGGTGTCATGTTATTTTTCCTGTAAGTACATCATAGATAAGTTTCATTGTATGTTGTTTTTACATTAAACATCAAGGCCAATTATCTACATGTATAGGAAGAACAATTATGGTAATTAATACACACCTACAGCGATCTCTTGACATGCTGCATTTAGAGATTCGTTCTCTTTAATAATAGTCAGAAATCGTTCTTTAAAATTAGTGCTTGTAAGTGAAGCCATCGTAAAGCATGCCTTTTTACTGTTACTTAACCTTAGCGTATCAATAAAACGTATTCTCTATCGAATTTGATCAAAATAAATGTATCTATTAGAAACTGTTAAAAATATGCCACATCAGAAGTACCTAAGAGCAATTATTATATTACGCAACACATGTCAATAAAATATAATATTTATCTTTGGAAAAATTTGGTCGTGAACTTTATTTTATTTAGTTTTTAAATTCTACGTTTGTCAACATTTTAGGTTAGCAAATATTCGATTACAGCGCCTCTAATGGTACCGATTCGTAATTTAATGGATAAGATGGATGAAAATGGCATGTAAGGTGTTGTTAAATTTCAGTGAAATGTTTGGTTACACCAGCCACCTAGGATGGGAGGCTGCATAGGTATAACGAGGGCAAGAAACGCCTCCGTTGACGATACTACGGGAAATTCCACAAGAGTAAATTCAGGTAAAAGTTTGATTGAAATTACGTACATTGAAGTTGCAATCAACAACAGCTAACCTTGAAGATACTCCAGCTTTTTCCTTACCTTCGTACTTAGCATTTATTGCGTTTTATGTATCTGTATTTGCATATTATTTGTTACGTTGAAAGTTGAGTAATTAGTTATCACCGTGTACGTGATAACATTCCATAGTATCAAACTTAAGATTTTGCAAAAGAAATTACATTTATCATTCTTATTTTGTTTCATCAACTATTTAAACCATGTTTATCACTGTGTTGAATCTTAGTATTCAATTATATTGTGAAATTCAAACGAATTTTTTAATTCAATGTGTTTCTTCTTCTATTAACTTTACAATTCTTTGTTTTTTTACAAAAATTTATATAAATACATGTCATTATTATAGGAAATTCAAGAAAAAATCATCCACTATGTCATGAAGTAATCAGGTGGAAATCAGATGTACCATTGACAGAGGGTCAACTCAGAAGTAAAAGAGATGAATTTTGGGATACTGCACCTGCATTTGATGGACGTAAAGAAATATGGGATGCTTTAAGAGCTGGAGCAATTGCAGCAGAAGCGCAGGATTATCAGTTAGCACAGGCTATATTAGATGGAGCTAATATTTCTGTGCCAAATGGTTTCTTAACAGAATGTTATGATGAATTGGGAACTAGATATCAGGTCCCTATTTATTGCTTATCATATCCAATTAATATTGTGAAAGAGGATAGTGGAAGGGATTCACCTGCTGACTGTTCAGGTAACACAGTTAAAATTAATTAATATTAAGAAAATTCAGGAGCATTTTATATGTGAAATAAATTTGTATTATTTTATTACTTCTTAGAACCCATTGATAGTGGAGTTGAACAGACATTAAAACTCAGATTATCTACTACATTAGGTGAAGTCAAATTGCCTGTTTATAGCAAAGATACTATTGCAGTTGCTAAAAAAAAATTACAGGTGAGCATGAAATTATTTATATTCATACTTTAATTGCTTTTTTTTAAATTCGTAATTCTGCTCATAATAACTATGTTAATAGAGTCAAGAAGGTTTAGAACCATCACGGCAAAGGTGGTTCTTTGGTGGCAAGTTATTAGGTGATAAAATGCATATAGAAGAAGCAAAGATACAACCAGGTTATGTAATACAAGTAATTGTAAATCCAGAAAAACTGGATGACAGTCCAGTGAAAACAAGCTGAACTACTGTTATACAAGATACAAGTTGCATTAAACCATATTTTCTGATGAGCACATTCTTACACACATACCCAAGTAAGAATACTTTTTTTTTTAATTTTATATCTTGTCATTGTTAAGAATAGAATAAAATGCACTTACAGCATAAATTTCATGATATACATATATATATGTATATGTATATGTTTTTCTCATAATATACATGTATATATATACATATATGTTATAATAATTAGATACTATTGTGTTAAAATTGTGGGTTGTGATTATTTAATTTTTGCTAATTTATACTAGATCAGAAAAAATATGCTGCTAACTAAAAATAAATTGCTACAAACGTCTAATTACAATCAATTTTAACATTAACACATACGCAGATAAGATAGACAAAAAATTGGCTAACGTATCACATTTAATTCAAGACAGAAATGTTATAAATTTATTTGTTAGTACCAACGAAGGTGCTGGTGCTGTAACAATTGAAAAACAAAGTAAACATGTAGAAAATTATTTATGCTGCTTATTAAACCATGTTGCATAATTATATAAGAAGTAAGTAATACACTTAAAAAAATTATAACAATAATAATAATATTAATAAGAGAATTACATAAATATTGAATATAAAAACACAATGGACAATAGTGAAAAAGGAACAAAGTATATACTGCTTGTTACAATACATTTTCATTTCATTTTTTCTTTTTTTAAATACATTTCATGTTCGAAATTTTTTTACATTTGTAGTAATTAATTTTAATTTTGATTGAAAAGCAGTTACTACTGCTTTTTGTTACACTCTTCAATGATATATAGATTTTTGGTATCTTTTCTTTTGGTAAATTCTCGAAATTTTTGTGAATGTATTATGAATGTTTATAGGACGTAAGTTTGCATTGTTTGGTAAAAATGTCTTTGGTCTATTAAAGGCCTAAAGTTTACGATTCCTTCCTATAAGTACTAATAAGATATTGTATTGTAAGATCTATACAGTTGAATGATGCACAGAGGAAAAAAAAACATAAGACTAATATTGAATTACATGTGGTGCAGAATTTATAATTTTTATACAATTTTATCAGTACTATCACTTTCACATTCGTGTTATTTGTGCTTATGATAAAATGATCAACACAGTAAAATAAGTACTACTAATTTAATTTAATGGCACTTAATTCTTACTTCTGTCCCACATGTTATATAAAAAGATGGTCTAAAATATAATTATACAAAATGACATATTATAAGTGTGAATTTATTGATTGTACTAACACAACAGTGATAAAGTTTGTTTACATATGCATTGATCGTAAAATTATAATATATAATATTGCGTGTGCGTGTATGTTTAATACGTAATACATAGAAATATATCGGTATGGAGATATATACGTTGGTTCCACTATTCTCAATTTGAGTGTCAAAACAAAAGTATTTAATCTTATAAATAACTTATTTATAAATTGGGTAATTACGCGCAATTTAAAGTAATACAATAATTGGAAGCAATTGTTAAGAGTATGAACATCAAAGTGTATGAAACCCTGTTCATATAACAAGAAAAGAAAACAGTTTCATATTATCTATTATGCATTTGTTTGATACACAACCAAAAGCAGTGTAACTAAATGTTGCATCTCTTTTGAATTTATAAATTTAAGAGTTTTATATATACCATTCTTGTATCTTTATTGTGTTCACAAACTATAGTTTCTTTACACAAAGAAAGATGATGTCTTATTATTGTAATATGTAATGATATATCAACAATATGCAATCAAATGATATTTTGGTTTTTCTCACCATATGATTTCTTTGGTGAAGCAGTACCATCGATTAAAGTATTATTTTACATGTTCTGTAAGTTCACAATACACCAATGGGAATGGTAATACCGCATTTATGAAAACGCATTCGTTACCAGAAACTAATTAAGACATACAATCGTTACTGGAATGACAAATTCTATCAGACTGATATTAGTTTTGCAATATAGGATTTGGGTTATCTGCAATATACTGAAAGAGACTGCATTTTAAGTTCTTTTTGATTGATATTCAAACAGTACAGAAAGATTATTTTGTGTATAGTATCAATTAAATTGTATGTTTTTCGTGCATATTCATACAAAGATTTTAATAATGTTGTGTTTTTCTTAAGTGATATAATTTTTATATGTATGAGTGATAAAATACATTTTTCTTGAATACTCATGTCCATGTAATATTGAACAAGAAATGTGATGCGGCGCGATTGCTATATTACAAAGTGAAAATATGACGAGTGTACATAAAAGCGTTACAATAACGAAAGTGCAATTCAAAACGCCTATTAAATGTTGCTACTGCTTAATATTAATATTGCTATGTTGGACCAATGCGTACAAGGCGTTTAAAAAAAAAAAAAGAAATGAAAGAATGACTGATTGGAGATAAGGTAGAACAACTGCCAATAAATAAAGCAAAATTCATTGTGTTGCTAATCAGAGATTAGATGATATTAAAAAAATTTTGGAATGTTAACAAAAACATTATTAGGTAGCAATTATTGATTAAGCAGGGTTTACACATTTTTTAAACTAATTAAAGAAATAATATTACTTACCAAAGCTGGTTTTTGAAATTAGGTGCCAGTACTAACATCATTAAATATTTAATATGTGGCTAAGTTTAGAAAAGGACAAGTGATGTTAGTAGTCAATTTCTTTTGATTTATAATTTACAGCTATAATTCTGTCAGGTCCAAGATATATAACACCATTGAATTATAAAAATGCTCTATATATTTGTTTATTATTATCTTAAAATAGGTATTTATTTGTTCTTTATAAACATCAAATTATAGATACATTTTCAAACTATGAAATTACTTAATCTTCTGTATTTTGATTATAGTAATATTACTTTAAAGTAAATACATGTAAATTAATTTCTAGGAATATTGATTATTATAACTTAATGCATTGTCAAATAAAGTATAATGTTGTGAAAATTTTTCGTCTTTAAACTTTATTTAACAATGTACTTTAAATACTTCAGTTCATGGCACAACCAAATTATTGTACTCAAAACAAGAAGGCTACCAGATTGATGAGCTGCAGCTAATGCTAGAGGCACATGATGTACCAATGTTGAAATGCCTAGTAGTACTTGAAAATAACCGGCGCAAAGAACCGCTAATATGGCTTTTTTAGCGTTACCAGGAAGCTTGTATTTACGAGATACAATTCCGATGTAAGTTATTAATGCTAAAGTAGTAATTGCCTGTAAAAAAAAGAAAAAATAAATTATATTACCCTAGTTTTAATCTAAACTGTATCTTTAAAACGTACCAAAATTCTGTGATCAAATTGTACAGTAGTTGCATTCTCTGTAAAATTTTTCCACTTAGGCGATACCGCAAATACGTCATCCGGTATCCACTTGTTCGCCATTTTCGGAAAAGTGTTATAAATAAGACCTGCATCCATTCCTGCTACAAAAGCTCCAGACAAAGCAGTAAAGAAAACTAATCCTTTTGTTGAATGAACTAACATTCTAAATCTTTTCAGCTTCTGCTTCATTTCGCTAGTACTAATATTTAAATTATTAAGGTTTAATTTTTCAGCAGGAATTAAGTAATCTAAAGCATTGTATAAAAATCCAGTATATATAATAAATGCCAGTCCTAAATGCGCGGCTAAGCGATACTGCGAAACACGTGGAACATCTGACGGTTCTATAAAACGATCTTCTAAACCAGACTTGACCATGTACCAACCCATCAGTCCTTGTAAACCAATTAATGAACCCAAAACGGCTACTCTAGTTTTCATTCCTGGCTTCAGCATACCTTTAGCCCAGAAGTATGTTGCTGGAATTATAAATACAGCGCCTATTAAACGTCCCCACATTCTATGTAAGTATTCCATCCACCAAATTCGTTTAAATTGTTCCAATGTCATATTTTGATTAGTGCTATAAAAAATTTACATGAAAATATAGTTTCATGAGATATACAATCAATCTGTTACTAATTCTTACATTTTGTATTCAGGAAACTGTTTATAACGTTCAAATTCTGTTTGCCACTGACTTTCAGTAGTAGGCATTTTTTCACCAAGTAATCTCCAAGTAACCATTGATAGGCCAGATTCTGTAAGTCTTGTTACACCTCCTAAACAAATAGGAAATGATAAACAATTGTTGATTTTTCTTTTGATGTACTTTATTTATATATATTCAAAATTTAAGTATTACTTTCCATATGTTTGATCTACAATAACTTTAATAACAGTACAGGCATAATAGTAAAGTAAAAGATAAAGAGTTATACCTAAAACCACAGCTATGAAAACCATACCACCACAAGTTAACATCCATTTGCCTACAATTTTATCTGATTTCTGGGATGACTTTGATGCAAAACCTAAAGCTATAGTTTTGCCCTGTCTAAATAAACCCTATAAATTAAATAATTAAATAAGTAACATTAAATAATCTTACATTATCTATAAATGATAAATGTACTTTTTAAATAGAATTAATATTCAATACCTTATGTAAAAAAATGGAATTTCTTTTTATTAATGTACATGTGGTATTTACAATTTTTTGTGGTTGAGTATATGTGTACAAATTTTTCTGAATTTGTAAAATTCTGGTTGCAGTGCTTTTACTTTTTGTTAAAGTACAATATCTTACCAAACTTAACATGCTAAAAAAAGTTAAATTCTTTAATAAACTGTAAGGAGTAGTGTTTAAATTAAAATGACATATGTATGTATATAATCTTCAATGTATTTACTTACGCTGCAATGTTATACAATAATATTTTAAATACATAACATAATTAACATGCGCATGTGATATGTTCTCTCGTTGAACGAATAATGCATAATATCACATTTACAATTCGCAAACTTCTACATCATAAATTACAATAATTGTAATTATTCTTCAGATTATTTCTAAACAATTGTGTATTCCAACATATTTTTTGTTTGTTATAAATAGCTGTAAAGCAATGTGCAACTTTTAACCTTACAGAAAATAATAAACATTCAAGACATCTGGAGTAAAAATAAGTAAGCTCTTTTCTATAGTTCAATAAGTTGACGTTCGTCGATAATCATTGATAAGTAAGATTTCTTAGGAAACATAAGGATCAACTAATGGTAACTAATTTGTTATATACAATTTTTTAATCGTCGTCAGATGGCACTTTAACATAAACATACAAATTGTGAAATACGAAGGATCAGATTGATATGTAATTTCATTTCATTCAACCGAATTTCATTTATTTGCAATAAGATTTGTGGTTTTAATCTGCCTTCATTAAGTTTCTTAAATAGTTGCGCACGATATTCTTGCGTTATACAATGTTGAAGTTATACATGAAATTGCTAATCAAAATGCTAAGTGTAAGAAAACGTCAAGTAGGTATCGAACCATCATCGATTATAAGATAATAATGTAATGATCTTTAATGAGATTTACACATGTACTCTGAGAAAACATCATTAGATTCCGAAACAGCTTTGCAATCACAGAACTCTAGCCGCACAAGAGTCGAAAAGCAATTGAGCGTAGGCGTGAAGCGATTCCTTTATAGGAATACGAGAATCAACGTGGAAACTTAATTATTCGGCCTATTGCGCACGCATATGTGTATGTGTATAAGTGTGCTTTCGTTGAGTGTTTCATCTATTAGAAAATAACGTTGACCTCATCTCTTCCGATGGAACACGAAAAATGCTTCGACCTGTTTAGGTTAAGTAAGTTCCATCGAATGGATTAACGATCATCGATCTTCGAGTACACTGATATCATTGCTTCGTTTCACGGGATAATGTATGAGAAAAAAAATTAAGGTTAAATCAGAGTAATCTATATCTTTTGAAAGTAAGTAGGTGTTAGCTATTGACAACACTTAATCCTTGCTAAATATCATTGAAAATGAATCGTGAATCAGTGGCATTAAATCGGTTAGCATAAATTTTCACCGAGCACGAGTAAATTTGCCATGTAAATAGTCGATTGCGTTCCCTATTAAACGAACACGATGCACAGTGATTTCAAACCGGTGAGTTTTTTTACCATCCATTGGTTCGAATTGCTAAGATCCCTCCCGTCTGTTTCCTTACAGTATAAGGCAAATTAGCGCCCGATTAGTGAGCGAGCCCCTTGGGATCCGAAAATATTCTCACGGTCCATGAAGTATCGAGGCACCGGTGAGAAAGTAAAGAAAAGGAACGTTAGAGGTATATGACACGTATTTCATATTTTATTTCGACAAACATTGTCAACGAACGAGTTTCGGTTATTGTATCTCTGCGCATGCGCCTGACGCATGCGCAGAATTTACAGTGTGCGCGCATTTTGGAATTTTCAAATTCTATGTACTTTAGGACAACTCGACTAATATTACATAATGACAGGCAGAAAATATAGCATATATGGTATGTATATATATAATATAAGTGGTATCGGTGTTACGCAACCATATAATCCTAGATTACAGCAATTACATTTTTGCCCGCAGTGCATTTCCATCCGAATCATATATGGAGGCGCTACCCTATCGGATAGCCATCGGCGCGAGCAATCTGGCATGCGCGGCCGTTCTCGTGAATGGGCACGGCTCGTGGACCAAGCGGCGGCCGTATGAATGAAATAGTAAATATAATTGACAGAAGGGCAGGCGTGGGCAGGCCAGTCAGAACAGGCAAGCAGAAACAGGCGGAACGAGGTGCAAGACGGGAACGGCGTTTTATACGCGGCAGGCGTAGGATCGAGGTCATCACCTTTCTATCATCCGAAGAGCCTAGATAGCACTTTTTTTGTCTCTCTTCTTTTTTTCCTATCTTACACGTTTCGACACGCTTTGGATATCCTTGATACTCTTTATTCGGTCATTATCGTTTGGTTTGATAAGATTTTTAATAACATATTTTTTTTATCTCCTTTTTTTTCCAGAAAATATTAGGACAAATGAAACTTTTACTAGAAAGTAACGAGGGTGATACCGTGCCAGCTGTTTGCACTGATCTCTCGTTAACTTTCTCATGATCCATGCAGCTATCCAAATGAGCGTTGATAACGTTTAACGTAGCTGTGAATTGCTTGTTTACCTACGTCAAGAGGCGAAGGCTTAGGTGAGCCGTAAAATTTCGGTTCCCCCTTTGGTCAGCTGGTTCCAGGGACTCGTCATAAAAGTTTGGCCCATCACCGTTAGGCTGACGGTGTCGCAACTCGACTACGGTAGTCAAATTAATCGTCGTTACGGAAACGGAAGAACCCTGAAGATTTCTATTTCTATTAGGGCCTTTGTACGCGAGCGGTAAGTAGGATTCCCTGTAGGTCCTGCCAGGTTAAAGCGTTACGTGACGATGAAGACAGATCCGCCCTCGGTCGCGGGTACTGGCTGTGGAGAACGTTGAAGGAGAGCTGCGCCAGTTCTTGGCCGGTCGGTCTGCCTTTTCTCTCCTCCCTTCTCCCCCGACTCCCTTCCCCGTCGAGTCGTCGAGTGACGACCAAAGACGGTAGGAAGGTACGGTTTCCGGTCGCCCACGCGACAACCTAGCCGGAGCTCTCTCGCGTCAGGCAGCGGCGTTGTGAAAATCCTCTCGATTCAGGTGTCCGGATAGCGCTCACGGAGTGGTAAACCTGGCGCAACACCCTGCCACTATGGTGGGGAGGGCACCATGATCCAAGCAAGATGGAGAACAATTTGTAGATTTCTATTCCTGCCGATACATCGATCTATGTTCTCGAGCACCCTACGTCTGATCAACCTTTTCGACACCATACCTCTAATGAAATAGTTTTCAACTATATGGAAACACGAATTTCTTCAGGAAGTATCAATACGAGCAACGACTTTCATTTGCTATGAGAAACACGACGGATATGCTTCTCGAGACAACTGGAGCGTCGCGTTTTAATCTTACCATTTGTCGAGAGACAGTGGAGCGACTGCGTCTCGAGTTTCTCCTTTTTCAAATTCGTTTCCTCGGACAATTAGCTTTCCTTTCGCTCGTTCGCTTTCCAGCTTCGATTGCTCAACGAGCAATAATTACATTCGAACGTTACACGTCGCGAACGTATCGGGAGAGCAGCTCGCTAGGGGTTGATTCGAGGCATTGTCGGTGGAACGTTGTTTGGCCGTTGTCGAGCACGGCGGGACGCACGATTAATGATACGTTTCATACTCGTTTTCGTTCATTGTCGATGCTAATCGATTACTGGCCTCGCGAGAGCACAAGTTCCAACGCCATTAGTTAAGATTCGAATAAATTTCGGGTGAAAGTGGTCTAGGGACGAAGGGTCGATCGATCCTCCCAGTGATAAATTTACCTGTCAATTAACTTCATTTCACCTTTCAGCCGTTCGAGAGAATCGCTGGACACTCGCTGATGTAGAACCGTAATTAAAATCGTATGCCCTGGATCATTTGTAAACAAATCGATTGACGCAACTCTTCACGATCCACTCGTTGCAAGAGACATGGATAGTTTCATGGATCGTTCAAGGACTTGGTTGTTTCGTCATCTTGCGCTTGAGTCAAATATCGTGTGAGAAGTTGGAAATATTGTCGCTTAATTAGCAGACCTTCTGCGAAACGGAGACCAGTCAGAAGAAGAGACATATGTAGAAACGTGGACGATATTGATCCAACTTTGAAAATATTCTCCAATGAGCATCAAGTTCGGCGTACCCTGGCGAACTCAAAACAGTCCTTTCCCCGTAAGTACAGAGAAGCACTTGAGATCTACAAACATCCCAACAACATCAATAGGGACTCCGGATACCAAACCCATCCAATTCGGAACACCATCTTCCCGGTTTTTTAATTGATTGGCCATTCAATTAAAACAGCCACCCGATTGGACAACTCCACTCAACTGGAGCGTCACGCAACAATGACACTAGTTCTGGATAAATAGGGTCGCCCTGTGCGGGACCAACCAGTATCAGGTTGTCTCTCGCACTGAAGAATTAAACTGCAATGTTTACGAAACGTCGGTAACAAACCGTCAACCAACGGGGCTCCATCCCGGAAGCCTTATTCAAATCTTCAGTTGTTATAAGTTCAAAATTGGCCATTTGATATGCAACAGCCTAATAGTTCTGAGAATCCTCTACACGGTTTTAAGGATTTCTTCTTCCTCCTCGACTTGCCGTGACGTCGCGACGTATGTGCCTCTCTTCTCTTTCCTTTTTCTCGCTTTCTATTATTCTCTCCTTCTCGTGGTACTCTATTCCTCTCTCGTTGGATGCTGTTCCTCTCAGAAAGTCCCTTCGAAGAGGTAGGGCACGCGAATGTGGGAGGGAGAGTTTCCGGTCGCCCACGCGCCTTTGCAACAACCACTTCGCTGAGGTATCAGGGACAAAACACGGGCCGGCGGATGTCTCTTCTCTTCTGCGCAAATGAAGAAGTCGCCTTGCATTTGGCAAATATAATGAAAGCTCCCTGTTTCGTTTTCGCGTCGGCCTGTTCCGTGACCTGCCGCTCGAAACCCCTTGCGTTTCGTTCCGTTTCCTTTCCGCTTCTGACGATCCGACTCTCTCTCCTTCTCTCTCTCTCTCTCTCTCTCTCTCTCTCTCTTTCTCTCTTATTAAATCTTCCAGGAATTAAATTTATTCTTCGTCGTATTTGATCGTAATCATGTAACGAGAGAATTCCGACGATGCGTACGGTAATTTGAAAGGAACAGCCTGTCTAATTAAGGAGACTTAACGCTCTAGCAAGCGGAAAATGATGAGTTTTTTTACGGCTGTTTGAATCCGATGTAGTTAACAACACGATCGATATAATTAGACAATAATTGAATTTATTGCAGGTGATGAAATGAAAGATGACTCGTAGGTGTTGTTTGTGGCAGGATTACGTTAAGACTCCGAACAAATGCGAAGAAAAGAAAAAAAGAAGACGTTCGTGTTAGACGTCTTTTGAACGAACAAGAATTAGAAAGCACATGGTGGCAAAGAAGGCAAGTCCTACGAAGGGTACAGAGTCGTGTTGTCGCTGTGGAGCAATAGAAAGGTAGCGGCGATTACGAGGCTTAAAAATAGCAATGACGACTGATCCGTCCACGCGTGCAAGCCGATCGTTTCGTATCGGTTTGGACTCGCTCGGATGTCGTAGGTTTCGCTAGAGGCAGGTCAAGGCGTTGCGGGGATTAACTGTGCACGATCGTAAAGCACCCCTCGCGAATCCTCGCGCAAACCCATCCGACTTGTACCGCGGCAGCTTGTCTCCTCTTTGTTGGAGCCTTGTAACCGCGTCGTGTAGTCAAATTGAGCGATCATGCCCTTTCCTTTTCTTCTTTTTCTTCATCTTCTTCTTCTTCTTCTCGTTGCGACGATTTAACCGCAGATAGCTAGGAATTAACATGGAAATTAAGGCGACTCCGCTTACGCTAACAACACCGTTCTTTGCTTTGCTTTGCCGTCGATCAGAGTAGTAGTAAAGACATTAAATATTTAACTGTTCTCGTGTTCATGTATTTTTCTTCTTTCAGGCTGCAGAGCGGGAAATTGTTTGTCCGCGACCGATTCCAACGGTACATTGGAACCACTCGACAGAGAAAAAGAGAACGGACTCTTCCAGCGTACGCACCACCCACCACGAAGTACTCGAGGAACGAGGATTGTTCGTCCTTCGAGAGGGGAATTCGGCGCTAAAGCCATCTTCTTCATCGCCTCCCTGTTTTCGTTTTCTTCCTACCTCTGTTGTTCTTTTTCTTCAGCGATCGCGCGCTCTCTCGGGACCGTCTAGTGGAAAAAGAAGGCGACCGAGGGATTTTTAGGGGCGTCGAGGCGACCGTGCGAAATCGACTTCACCGCGAAGATCACGGTAATATTGAATAATAATACGATATAATTTAATAACCGTGCCGCTGGATGATGCTTAATGACGATAATGCCCGAGCAGGACGGCCACCTAAGATCAGCAGGGAGGCAGATAAGTTTGCAGGTTGTTCCGCTTAATCGCGTGTTTATACGCGCTATAGATAAATATATCCTTTCTCTTGCACGTTGTAAGCTCAATTAACGAAATGTACGCTCTTCATTTCACGAACAACGATCATCGGTTACGGTGTTCGTTCGCGTTGGCCTTCGGGACGAACCTTGGAACAAAGGCACGGACAAAAGGGACCACCGAACGGGCAGCTTGTAGGTAATCTATAGATTAATTGTGGCCTTGACGGGGTATAAAGTTTAACTCGATATCAAACTTGCAGGCTGCACGCTGTTCCGCGGCTCTGAAGATAGACAATGGATCAGAGAGGCTGGTTATCCAATGCGGTCATATTAAGTAACCGCGAGGCTGGTTCATAATCGCGATCGTATCTGACCGTAAGATGTCCCAACTTATAGTCAGCGTATCTCGAGAATTTATGTCACAAGTTGCACGCTGATAGTTGGTCGGTTAATCCGACGAAAAACGAGCGAATTGTTAATCAGTTGACAAGGATTAGAAGATAGAAAAGCTGACGAGGAAGAAAGCAGCGCGATGCAAATAACAGGAATGTAGGACGGTTGGAATCGCTAGCGAGGTTCCAGGAGACGCAAGATTTATTGGGAATGGTGCGTTTAATTGCTTTAAACGATACTCATCTCCGCGACTGTAATCAGTGTTGCGTCATGGTTGCAGGTAATCAGCATGGGTCTTTACGATTACCGCGAGAGTACTCGAGGTGCACGCAAAACCAGAGAAATCATCGACGTTCGTATAAAAGTACGACGAACAGGCTGTTCGATCGTGTCCCAGAGATCGCTCCCCGATGGATTTATATTGGCAGTCGATTAAATTTCTTCGAGCAATTTACATCGGCTGATTTATCCATCGTATCGGATCGGTCGTAAATAAGTGTAGCGTGTGGTGCGTGGTGCGCCTCGAGTATCACCGTTTACGACTGAATCGACAGAAAAAGACAGAAGTAAGGAAGTTGGCGAGAAAGAAAGGAGAAAACGGAGGAATCTGGGAAGCGGAGGTCCGAAAGAGTCGTAATTTCGCGGCGAATCGCGAGGGTGAGGACGATGGCTCGAAACGGAGAGGAACGGTGGACAAACCGTCGCTGGACTTTCGACCGCGCGACGCCACCGGGGAAGGAAGGAAGACGGGAGGAAGGGGGATGTGCCGGAGGAAAAAATATAAAAAAAAGAAAAACGACCGGGTAAATAAAGATCGACCCGTCTCCCACGCCCGTGACCATTGTTATTATATATCCCGTGGGGTATTGTTCCCATGGGAAAACTGGACAGGCCCGTTCTACCACCTATAAGACACCGGCCAGCGAGAGAATATGCACGCACACAGGCTTTTTACTCGAGCCACGCCAGACTTCAGGTAACACACTCTCCTCTTTCGTCTCAGCGACGCGTGTGCTGCTCGCACGCGCGCGATCCGGCGAGCGTGTACCGTAGACACACGCACGAGACAGGCCGCACACTCGAGCGCAGATTTGAGATATTGTGGGGGGCGTTCACCTCGCATCTCGGTCCTCGTGGTTCACTCGTGTTAGCGTGCACACATACGGTCACCGTCTACGCTTGTATTTCGTCTCCTCTACGTTTCCGTGCAAGGCATTGCAACGGGTATCCCCGTGTGCTTGTATACGCTCCACGGTGTATATGGTCGCCTTACGTCGTTGAAACACGCGCGCACACATGGCTACGCCGTGTACGTACAGTCAACGGAGGTACTTCGGTGGATGCTTGAGGAACAGGGTGCGGCTCAACCCACCTCGCTTGACTTACCTACCCGTATTACCGTCTAGGTAGGTATATCCAGGCGCGAGCCACGCAGGATACTATGCCATATTTGCATCCGTGATCCAGGACACGTGTGTATCCGCGGGAGCGCGTGTGCGTTCTTTTTTTTTTTGTCCTTTCTCTTCATTCCTCTTACCCTTTCGCATCTTCTTCCTTCGTTTACGTGGACCATTGCCTTCACCATGATGCACCACCGTGTCGTGATTTTCTCCGTGTCTCTTCTCCTCTTTCTCTTCTATCTCTCCCCACCTTCACTTCTTTTCGTTGATTTTTTTTTACCTTTGGTTTAGTCTCTCCTTCTTATCTCATTGCCCTCTTCTCTTTCCAGCTTTCTTGCTACATCTTTTGCGATAGTATTCCTGGTGTCTCTGGTTCAAAGGGATGCATGCGGAGGATTATAAATCCCAAAGGAAGAATAGGGATATCGATACCGTGTCGTATGATCGCGAACGTACCGTGATGCAGAGTTCAACATTCGCCACCAGAGGGATCATCCAAGATACCAACTTTCTCGCAACTCCTCGCTCAATCATCCGCTCCTATAAAAGAAAGGTAATTCTAGTAAACGAATCCTTGCGCAGTTCTCATCCTTTTTCCCTTACTCTCCACGTTTTCTTTTTCAGCGCAAAACATCGTACCACCGTAGAAAAAGAAATAATTTTGTCTGTTATCGCAGAAACTCGTCACAGTCTGGTCGATAATCAATAACGATGGGGACAGCGAGACTAGTCGGATGAACGAGTTGAATTCGCAAAGAAAAAATAAAGGAAGAAAGAAAAGCGCGTCGAAGCGAAGAACGGCGAGAACGGAGGAGCAGTGATTAACACCGTGGTCGATCCTGGAACGGCCTGGACGAAGATCGATGAGGATCAGAAAGGTGGCCGGAGCTGTGTATCACGGTAGCCGGCTCGTTATTCGAATTCCTGGGATTTCTCGACGTCGTCTGGAGTGGTCGGCACGCAAAGTCGCGTCTCCTCCTCTTTCTAGCTGGACTTACCGAACCGGATGGCACGATCACCGGGGTCCAGGACCGCGTAATTAATTGATATAATAATCGTGACGGACGAGTCTTAATTTCATCGTGAGACGCACGCGTCCGTACTTCGGTAGCCTCGTTTCTCTCTTTCTCGTTCCGCATCGGCGACTTGACGACGGCGTCGAAGACGTTGAAGACGACGAATCATCGACGTCCGCTAGGACAGTCTTGCCAATAAGTCTCTCTTCAAGGTTGCCATCGCTGGACTACCATAATCCGCCTCGTAGATTATTATCGGCGAAAGAAGAAACTTGCGACATACACCGGTCACGCTTGTTCTTCCCTCTTTCGTATCGCGTCGCCTCTCTCCGCTTCGCTATCCTCCTACTCTTATGCTCGTTTTTTCACCTCGCTCGGAGCACGGAATAATAAACCGTGCGCTGTGACCATTAACAAGAGGCTAGAGCTTATGGTCCGCATCGTCGGGTATATCTGTGTTTGATTTGCGTTTGCCAGGAGAACGTATAATTCCTTATCTTAATTGAGCCGATTAGCATACTGTTAGGGAGCGGAGAGGCTCGCTTTAGACGCTCGTTGCACGCAATTTCGACGTGCCTATACGAAAGCATCGCGTGCGTACGGGACCGAAACACAGGCGTCGCGCGGCTACTGGAATTTCGTTTCTCCAGGCTGCTTCGTCGTCCGCTCGATTAATCAAATGGGACGTTCCCAGTCGGAGGAGTATCCATTAGAAATTGATTCCCGTTTTCGATCGCCACTGAATTAATTTGTCGTTGTCCCATATAACTTTAGCGTTTCGTGCTTTCTCAAAATATCAACGGATAGGATTGCAACTTTATTAGAGAATTCTGAAAATTGTTTAGCGTCAGAGTATCGTGGATACAAAATCGTCAAAGAGCAAAGGATTAATTCGTTCATGGTTCCCGCTTGCGGTGTTCCTCTTTCTCTGAACGATTCATGGTGTCTCCGTCTAGCTAAGCGGAGCCGAAGACTTTCACCGCGGCGCTCGGTTGGTTCGTTCATTCATAAATTGATTATTAAAGGCTCGCCGGGGCCCGTTCGAACGCGAAAGATACGCGCGTACACGGTGGCACGAGCTACGATCGATCCCTCTCGCTTTTTCACCGCGTTCCCCGCACACGGTCGAAGATAAAATAATCAAAGCGACCGCGAAGAATCGCGAGCCTTTTAAAGGAAAAAAAAGCTTCCGCGACCGGCAGCCGGCTATTAATTTGTTCGCTGTAACGAGTACTTAGCCACGCGAACAAGAAGCATTCATCCTTTGGTTTTTCATCTCGCGTTCCGCTCGTATGTTTTCAGGTTTCTTTAGCAGGAGTAGCATGCTGTAGTTGTGTGTCACTGATATTATCCACATCAACGGAACAGGCTTTTTGGAATAAAAGTTGTTATGTGAAACGAATGGATTTTTTTTTTAAATTCTTTGGAAATGTAGGTAACGTAATACACTTAATTTTTTGTTTCCTTATTTTTTATTTTCTTTCATAAGTTCACATTTTACATAGGTAAGAAGAAACATTAAAAATCGAGGTCGCCAAGATATCACAATGTCCTTGTAAGGTTGATCTCCAGTATCCAAGCAGATATCTCTTGGCTCCAATTAGTACTATGTCACCGCTTATCGGGCACAACATTGCTTTCAGTGTTGGTCCCATCGCAGTGCGTTACCGCACGGCCGAAAAACTACCACGTCCGGTCTCCAATTTCGATCGACTTTATCCCTGGCCGTCGATCTCGCATATTTATGTCCACCGATCCGTCCAAGCGATCCAGGATCCTCGAGGCCGGCTTATCACGGACCGACGAAACTCCCAGCAGGAAAGGTACACTTCGCAAAGGACGCGAAGGGTAGAGAGAAGGAATACGCGAGTAAATTCAACGGAGGCGCATAAAGACGCGACGAAATACGAGCGAGAAGGCTTGGTGCCGATACCTCGTCGAAGCAGAAGGGATGTGGCGGTGGTAACGGAGAAGGTGAACCAGCAAGAAGAAGAAGAAGAAGAATAAGAAGGTATCCAACAAAGAAGGAAAAGAAGAAAGAGGAAAAGGAAGACAGCAGGGGAGAGATCTACTGCAAGGGCGCGGCGAGGGCCCGAGATGGAAAAGAAGGAAGAAAAGAGGTGTGGCACGAACCTCTCTCCAGCATTGTCCGCCTGTACAGCTCGCGCACGCCGAGACTGGTCCACGCACCATCCGAATCTATCTACATACGGCATACCATACGCGCTCACGCATAGGAAAAGAAGTCTCCTCAGGGCTGTGTGGTGCTGCTCGTATGAGCGTGTCCTCTCTCTCTCTCTCTCTTTCTTTTCTCTCTTCAAGTATGTCCTCGTCCTATGTGTGTTATTATACAGCCTCTATATGCGTGTAAGAGAGGACACGTGTGATAGTACGCGGTTAACTCGACGACCGCAACACAGCCGCACGAGACAGACCCGACCGGTATTCAAAGTCAGAACGACCTGGCGGGGCAAGAGGGTGAAGAAACAGGCAGAAGGGTGGAGGAGAGAGGACTGGTAGAGAGGGAGCAGGCACGAGCCTAACTGCAACCAGCGTCCCACGCGCTTGGACCAACATTTAGTAGGCTCTGTCTCTTGCCTTCTCTCTTCCATTTACCGATTCTTCGCTACGATTGACGTTGTTTCCTCTCTTTCTCTCTCTCTCTTTGATGCCCGATCCCTCGGTGTACGCGCGTACACTACGAGACGTACGTACACGGTGGACCATTAGATGCGAGTACGCTGCTTAAGATCGTCTTCTTCCTCTGCGTCCCGACGCGACGCGTCTCGATCCATGTTCTTTCTTCTTTACGCGGACCATCTATCTCGTTCTCTGTCGAACTAGCGCGGCCGCAAGAGAACGATTCCTTTTGGTCGTAAAGAGTGGCAGCGTTCCCTATGGAACGGCCGGTAAGAAAGTCGAAAATTTGTGTCGAGATTACGTGTTTCGAACCGTTAAGCGACCCCTTGCGCACGTGGAGACTCGTCGAGCACGCGGCGGTGTCCCCGCATCGCTATGGAATTAGATACACGCTGGCTATTAACTAAGCTGGATCGATGTCTCTCGAGGTTGGATCGCTTTACCCACCGTCCATCGTTGTAATTACACTTTCCCGTGGCGATTCGCATTTTCATGGTAATCATGGTCGCGTCAGCCATGTACGTGTGTAATGTCTTTCGAGCTAGAACGATTCCCTTTCGAACGAGCGAATAGTCCGACCTCGAATCGCAAACGCTTAACCCAGTAACGCGGATGCAATTGCCCCGTTCCTCCCGTAGGGCAGATTCGAGAATCCCTCCGGTCATCGTCGCTTCGTGCATCTCGCGTTAGCGCGTTAGATCGAATTAGAGCTACGTTCGAAGCGTTCCAATGACCCTGGCTAATTGTTCCGGAGAGGTCGAGACAAGAAAGTCGAAACGCTCGGGACGACGCTAGTTGTTCGCGCGTACATCGTCTCGTCGTGGCTCTCTCTCGCCATTTGTTCAGCTAGCTGGTCGTACGAGGATGTCCGCTATATAACGTCGAGAAAATTAATGGTCGTCGTTATTCGACTCGTTCTCGAGGCACGGCGAGGATGCCTGGATCAATGGCGGAACAACGAAGCTGTAACGTATAGGCTTTGGGAACTGAGCGTGCCGAATTTTATTTCTCCGGAATGATGTATTACGCGCGGCACAAACGGGCTCGCGTTGACGTATCGGTGACGAGATGTTGGAAGAAGCACGGTTACGACTGTGCGTGTCTCGTCGAGGATGTACGCTTTAAAGTGGACACTGGAAAAGGGGCTTCCTGTCCGCTAAGACACCAGTTATACAGTCAATCGTCTGCTGTGCGTTTAAGCACCGTGTTTGCTGCCTCTAATTGATGCTACTTACGAATTAGGTGGTACTCGCTAAATACCCTCTGAAATCATAAGTCATTTTCGATTTTCGACGCGCAACGGGGCGCGAGGATTCTTATTAAAAACGTAACCTTTCGGCGGCCGTCGGAGCGTACGTACATCTCACTTTCCCACACGATTGCTCGGTGGAACCGCAGTTTCGTGAAACAAGATCCGGAGTGTAAATCACGGTCGATCGTCTCCCTCTTACGAGATCGCTTTCCCGTATGCTCGAAACTCGAGGCGGATTACGATTTCGATCGAAACGACGACGAGGATGAGGACGAGGACGAGGACGAGGACGAGGACGAGGACGACGACGACGACGACAAGGGAGTCTTGCGTAGCCGAAAAAATAAAAAGAACTTGTCGAGGTCTGACGCGATAAGGAACCGAGAGGGACGCAGAGGGTCACGGTGGAGGAGGATATAATGGCCAGAACGAAATCGTATTAGGGCACGAGGGAACGTTCACTCGGCTTTTTATCGAGCCGGATACACCTCGTTTCTGTCTGTTCGTTACACCAATACACAACCATGAGCCGGGATATTAGGTAGGCCCGATTTTTGGTACGACCACCCTGCATGCCGGGGGTGATTTACAAGCACCTTGGTAAACTTGTGGTTAGAGGACCGTCGAACAGGTTATTCTACGGGAAAACCCTTTCTGAATGGACGCTGGTAATGTACTCGACTCTTTTAAACTACCATTTTAATATTTCAAAGATTTATAGAAAACCTTGAGGGATCCTACCGAACCCGTGGCGTTTCCTCGGTTCAACTTAACTCGAAGCGATTCATTCGTTTAAATTAAGCTGAAGTTACGGTGTTTTATCGAGAAGGATCTCTGTTACGATCGTTAAAAGGTTTTTTGTCCAGGGAGTCAGGCGGGATATTCATTAAAATCGCAGACAACAGCGCGATGGAACAGCTGTGCTACGTTTTGCGTTCCCACAAGATGCGTACGGGAGGTCGATTATTGTAACACAAGGTCGATTTAATCGCGCTAGATCAAAGACATCGAGTAAGTAGTTTATCGTGCGCGTTCATCGGAGATCGAAACACCATGACTTTGGTAATAAACTCAGATACGATGTCTGGTTTTTAATTCAGTGACTAACGTTATTTGATAAACCTTCGCGCATCAGAAACTTTTATTCCAGAGATATTAACATTACTTGATATCTTTCTGAATAGAAGATTATATTACAAATTACTTTGAACGTAACTTAGGTTGTCTAATGTAACAAATTGAACGTCAGAACTTGTTCAGACGGCTTCAAGCGTTAAAAATCGAGCGGGTAAACAGGAAAACTATCCCGACGAGAAAAAAGAAACCGAGTTTGCGTTCTCCATTCCAGACGTAAGGACGACATCGTCGATGAAGGAAGTACGTGGACCATTAGCGAGGCATGATTAAACGGAACATGTAATGGTGTAATACGCACTACATTAACTCGTGGCGGTATCCCGCAAGAGGTGGTTCAGTTGGATTCCATTGCGGTCGGTCAACGTGGTCGTTGAGGCGGCTGAATGAACCGGCAGTGAATTAAAACGTTGATTCGCCGCATGTACATACGATTGGCCATGGAATTCGTCACCTCGAACGATCGCCTCCTCGAAATCCCATTCACGAACATTCGTGCACGCGTTAGAATTCCTCAATTTACATATGTACCATCTGTACAATTCTATTATCTTCATTTTATCGATCGTTTCATTAAAAACTTCTTCTCCTACTTATATACGATTAGCCATGGAATGTGTCGCCTGGTGTGATCTTTATCTCGTAAACGTCGTTTACAAACACAATTCTGCTTGTTCCAGGCGCTGTGATGCTCTTTAACTCGCTGGTGAAGCTCCCTGGAAAGAATGCACGCTTAATTGTACGATATCCCGTGAAGAGGTAGGAAGAGGAGAAAGTAACGCGTTAAGAGCGGCTTACACGGAATTGAAAAGAGATAAGCGATGGTCACGCGTCAGGGTGTTCCAGACGATAGCTACATCACTGGATGATCCAACAAGCACAAGGAACATCGTTGGTAGCCAGCGTACAGCTCTGAATTGAGCAATTTTCTCCAGGCGATATCCGTCACAATATGCTTGATACGTGAATAGGAGATCCCGGGTCCGCAACGCTCACAAATCAATCTTAAACGCGAGAATGTACCACCGCTTTGTTGTCGATCGCGAAACGCTCAGAATGCTGTCCCGCGTGTTTCATTGTGGCGGATCCGTGGTGGCTGCTGGCCAGCTCGTTTCGCGGTTTTGCTCGTGTACGAGTAGCACACGCACGTGTCGAGGGAACAATAAACGATCGCCTTTCTAAGGTCGCCAGTCGTGGTGCACTCTGTTATACCGGCATGGCACCGTGCGCACTTTTCTCTCCGGCCACGGATCTACATGAAACATAATAGGGGAGTAACGGCACGGGTTAGATCGACTTATTATTACTTGGAGTCGCTTTGACGGGTATCAACGGTGCGACAGACAGATCGTGGAACACGGGAAAGGCATTTGAAAGCTTGCCCCTATAGGGGATATCTCGTTAGGGGCCACCTACCGAACGACGCTTTTTTCCCCCCGCCGCGCGTATTCTTTTCCACCGCTTTCCTTCTATCGCGTTATCGTGCGCTTTATGTCGCGGCATTAACAGAGCGATTCGTGAAACCGATCGTTTATAGACCGGTTGAACAGAGGATGAAAGGGTAAAGTATGGCGCGGGCAAGGAATTTACACGAAGGAAATGCCGCGCAATAAAACGCGCGATGTCACGTGACGCAATCTGCGAGCTGTAGCCAGTGCGCGAAGAATTGCGCCGGTCAACCGAGGACGGAGGAAAATAGGCTGAATATGCGACAAGGAGGCTACAGCGGAATTTGAAATAGGACGAGTTTTCTTTGTAACCACGGATTCTCCTATATTGAAACTTCATTGACGATACGGCAGTTGAGCTGTAAGAAAAAGATAGAGATGATAACATGTTGCGTTTCATCCGAGACCCGCATATGAATTCTTCTATTAGACTTACAGTCTTACCTTAGAGGTTCTAGATGCAGGATGCGGCGTGAATCGATCGCCACGATATTTCAGCTGGTTCTGAAGGTATTATTTGTGGTACGAACGTCTCCTCTAGGAACTAGTCCAATTGAGTATTATAATCCAAAGTACCTATGCAATAAAAATTCGAAGGTAATTTATTTATTTTCAACTTTCCATTATTTAATATTCTACGGTGTTCGCTGTACTACACGGCGCGTTGGATTTAATACCAAGTACGTAAAGGGAGAGCATAATAAAGTACTAAAACAGATCTACATCTATTTTCCTAGCCAGGAACGGCGGACGAGCGCTGGTACGGATGCAATTGAGAAAACAGACGATTCCCATGGAGAAGAAGGTTCGCCAAAACGAACAGCGAGGCGATTAGAATTACAGGCTTAATCTTGGCCGATCTGCAAGCCTGTCGCCGAATACGGTAGGAGGTGAATAAGACGGGTATACACATTCGTCACTCAGCAAGCGTCCCGCGGTATAACTCGTAGGCCCGACCCTCTCGGTCCCTCCCAAGTCACCGGTCTCCCTCCTGGCTTCGGATCGAGCACGGAAGCCCAAATAAGGGGAAATGTACGGCGAATTAAGGTGCCCCTCCACTGTTTCACTTCGCTAGAGGCGCCGGCTTCATCCTCGGTCACGAGGCGCCCCAACAATCGGTAGAAATTCACCTCCTGATATCTGGAAATTAGGGATAACAATTGGTCAGCTCGTGATTAACTTGCTCGATATTACAGAGAATGCGATTAAAAGATATCCTATTGTTTTACCCTTTCGTTCTTTTGAACTGATATAAATCGCATTGGAGATTAATAAATGCACAGGAACTACGCTTCAAATACAAAAATTGCTAGTAAACAATGACTGACTAAGATTCACCGGGGACATAGTTAATCGCCGAAGAAAAATCGATGGCGCGAGATCTCGATGGAAAAAAAGTGGCGCCCACGCGAAGTGATCGGTCGAAGATCTCGGCGATCTCTCGAAACAGCCACGTCTCGAATATACTCCTCGATGGGAGGAGCTGTTCGGTCGCAGATTTTAATGGCGGATTTTTGCGACTCGCCAATCGCACTCGACAAGAGACACCGTCCTCCGTTCCCGGTTCGTGATTCAACGATTCGACGATTTCACTGCGAGAGAGGAGAGATATACATCGCGGCGAGTTACGTGATTTGATTTGAGGAGAGCTCCTCGAAGCGAGCGCGCGTGGGACACGCGCTCTGCCTTGTCGCGTGCCTCGCCACGTTCACGGCGGTTCTCAACTTGAACATCGATTATCGAGATGCTTCGATCGATCGAGATAATCGCGCGGGAAACCACCCCGCCATTAGCGGTGGTTTCATTAAATTCGAAGAGTAATCATATCCTCAACAATCGTGAAACTTATCTTCTATATCAAAATGATTCCAGTCCGACAGGTACCAATATTAAAATAAATATTTCAATATTCATATATTCGATGCATATGCAAAAGGGGTTCGCGTCTGATCCCCGTAATTCGATGATACATTCACGTCCGATTTTGTAGGTTATGTTCGGCGTCGTTAGATTACCTCTCGTTATGCAGCCGGAACATTTGAAACATCCGACGTCTGAAAGTATAGATCTAACGGAACAAAACATAGCAGGAAATTTTCTAGAGTCTGGGACGTAATACGAGAGTCCTCTTACCGTTTCGACACTCGAGTGATATCATCGCCCGCAGGAGCGGATTCAGTCATTTGTGGCAGCCTGCGTTCGTCTCCTTCTCGACACTGTGTAAGTGGTACGATTGTAAATTGCAAATCATCTAACGTTACGATGACCGAAAATAATCGTTGCCGTGAAAGACGAGGTTAAAAAGAATGATTTCACGATTGCTTCGATCGTTACGTTAACACGTGGCCATTTGCATTACTGCCACTCAAGATCGTATATTACATTAACAGGATCGATTTACGAGATACAGAGGAGTCGTTCGAAAGGAAATCCTTTAATTATATTCAACGTACGGGTCCAGTTGGGAAATTTTCACTTAGCCTTTAGGCATCGTAAATACGCTTCCTGATTTGTTGTTGAAAAAAAGGATTGATCCAGAAGAGGTCGATTGTCCGCTGGTATCCAGTTTATAAAGTAGCTCCATGGAGCGTATAGAACCTAATAGCATAGGAATCAGGATAACATAGGTAGGCTCGGATGCTTACCGTCGGAGAACAAGGAGAAAGGTACGCGAATAAATTGTCTATGCCGTTTACAACCGAGTCTGGCTTGAGAACAGCCTAATTACCGCGTAACGTGTTCGATAGCCTGCGACAAATTGGACACGCATGATGTTTTCATTTTCGTGTAACCACCTGATCAACCAAAGAGATCCGGAATACACTAAACGTACATATTTTGACTGTATTTTAATTAGAAAATACGAGCGCATTCGGTGCTCCTCCTCAACTTGATTTGCCTCGTTTCTGCTCAAGGTCTCACGTGCAGCCATGTTACCATTCCGAATACTCTGAAAATGTAAATGTAACAATTGAGACACGGACTAACAATTGAGTTCAATTTGCACGAGTCGTCTGCGAACGATGCTGACCACGTGGACGGTCAGGGGAATTTTGCAAGATCTTGAATTAATATAGGTTAGTGATGGGTAATTAGAGGCGACGATGGAGACGGCGTAATATCGTAAATTATATTTAAGGCCCCTAACTGGTGCGTGTTAAATGGCCGCGTAACGTTTCAGTTTACTTATCAGGAAGCGATTAACGACACAGTGCACCGGTTATAAATATTCAAGATTACGAAAGCGGCTATGTGTAAAAACAGCACTGAAAGGAAAATCTACGGTTACAGGACGGCTGCACTATTTCCTAATGATCCTGTCCGAACGTTAGGCCGCTGAAGATTTTATCTTTACTGATACTGTTTTACTAGTTATGTCATCAACTTATTAAGCGGTAAATAGACGAATTTTAATTTCTTGTCTCCTGATAACCAGGAAAGCTCGAAGAATGAATGTTAATGCGGGAAAGAAGGTTTCTCAGTCGGTGGAAGCGTGTAAACTTCATGTGTGAAAAAGCACAACCACAACGATCGAAATTCTCTAGATAGAATAAGATTTTTCAAACGCTTAACACGATATAGAATGAAATGAAAAGTGATTTCGAAACGTTACGCTGTAAACGTAGCCCGTCTACGCCACTACCGTTTGACACTCCCAGTTTCTAATCTCGTCTAATCTTCGAAGATATACCTGCACGCACAGTCGCTCATCCTACCGGTTGATTTAAGAGGAAACACTGAATCGATCGAAATGAAACGAATCGATTCACTACGGGCACCATTAACTATTGCGAAGAAAGGTTACGCGTAACGCGCAACTTCGACGTCGATTAAGTATTTTGCTCGGTTCGAAGTAAGTTTCATGGACGCTCATTAAAGAAGCAGATTATCAACCTAACGTTTAAGCGTTTCCGGAAAAAGTAATCCTTCCCCGTATTTGCGTAAACTGCGCGACCGTGGGTGGGGTTGTCGAAACCGCGTGTTACCGCTAAAACACCGGTTACCCTTATTGTCATCCCACCGCGTGAAATTATCTCCCCACGTGCGCGATTCGTCTCACTGTCGGCCGTTTTTACCTTTAATTACTATTCGTTACGATATATCCGGCCATTAGGTGTATAAAATCGACTAAGAACGAAATAACAGAGTAGAGGTACACGGTAGGCGCTAAACGGTTGCGAATTAGTTGCGTCAGAGATCTTTTTGCGGTTTAAATCCACGACGAAAAGGTTGACGAAAGGGTTAACGATGGCAAACGGTCACGGTCTCTTCCCGATAACCACACGATTTATCGTGGATTTTACGCGCGCAACGGGCCAGAGGGATTTTTAAGCGTAAACCCGGAACGTATAATGTTATTACAATCGTTTGTCGAGCCGTGTGAGCGTACGCAACGTACTCTATTCCGCATTATCCAAAGCCATTGTTCCGCGCGGCAATCGGGCATCGTGGGATCAGCGAATCATCCGTTCGCCGATGATTTCTATCCACGGAAGTACACGATCGACGTTGTACGGATATTTTTCCCGTAAAGACTTTATATTCGAGCTCTGTTGCTCGACGATTACGTGGCAAACAGCGGGGTTGGCCGGGTCGAAATGAAGAAAGGGTCGCCGCTGAAAAGTGGGAGGGAATTGATAGTTGGTAATCTGGTAACGAGTATATCGGAGTCGCCTATCCCCCGACATAATTGGACATTAACGAGGGCTCCTGATGTAATGCGTTTCGCTTCATTTAATTTTACTGGATTGGTTATCGCGGGAGGAGAACTTGCGCCGAGAGGGCCCCCCAAGAACACCTGGATCATCTGTTAACTCTGAAGGAAAGGTTCTATCCAACGTTATTAAAGAAGACTTGTTATTTATTTATATATTTATTCGTATGTACACGGATAAAATAATCCTTTGGTATACAATGATGAACGTATAGCATTAGCTCAAAAGAAGAATGATGGATCTGCTAAAATTGTATAATGGGTTGCCAAAAAACCAAAGGGTTGACAAAAGCTTGGGGTCTTGCGTGGCAAATTTCGACTTGTCACACTGAAATTTTATACAATGGAACATGGTTAGTAATGGTTTATCCCCTGTCTTTGATATTTCTAAGTTTAAAACAAATCTAGTACATTATCTTTACTCTTTTATTGATTCCAGTTACAGCTGTCTACCTACTACGTTTAGGAGTCAGCTCTAAAATATTGTGCCGAAGTTTCCTTGCATTCCATTGAATTAGTAAATGCTATAAAAGTCTAGAGACAGTGCAAGCGTTAGGATCGAGCCACCATGGTCCATATTCAAAACTCTTGGCTCGAATGTGTAGGTAATTCTCTTCTCCCTTCTCTCTGTCCGACGTTGCCGCGGTCGAGTCGCGCTTAACCGAAAACCAGGTGTCTTCCGTGGCCGGCGCGCGTACTGTAACTCGTTCTCCACCCACCCGGCGGACGGGGCGAGGTAAGCAACGGTCCTGGAACCTGTTCCGAACCGTTTGAGAGTCTCTGCCCTACCTTGTCCCGTCGTCCATCCACCTTCGTCCCCTCTTGCTACGACGACTCCCTTTCCCCTTGCTGCCACCGCCCCTTTTCAGCCTCTTCTTTATTCTCTTCCTCTGATTGAAAATTTTAACCGTCTTTCTCTCGTTCACGCAGGGATTCACGTTCTCCAGGCGGCGTAATATCACGCACATCATCGTCACGGAGATGTGTACGCGTGCTCGACTGGAATCGAGGGACGAAGACCTTCGTTGAACGAGGAGAGGTCGCGAGGCAGGACGTTGAACAGACAGAGACGCATACAGACAGGAGAGATGAGCGAGAGAGAATCAAGGGAGAAACAGGAATGGAAGGAAAGAAGAATGAACAATCGAGGGAAAAAGAGAAGATTGTAAAGAAGAGGAAGAAGAGGAGGAGAGAAGCGTGCAGGAAAGCAGCGGGGAGGGGAGAAGGCGCTGGCAATCAGGGCGAATGGGGTACGGCACACGCCACACGCCATCATAATGGAATAATGAGGCAAAGACGATAGCAATCGCGCAGAGGCTCCTTTTCCGCGCGACACACGTCCGTGTCTTGGCGCGTTGATGCGCGCACGAGCTCTGGAACGTCGTGGACGAATTGAGCGAATCAGAGCCACATCCGATGAGGTCACTTCGACTCGGCTGCAGGACCGCGATGCCTCTCGGACTCTCTCTCCGGTGCCTTGTCCCGTTTCTGTTCGCCTTCTTTCTTCGTTGCTCCGTTACATCGTTCCGTCTCTTCATCCTCTGTTATTCCCTCTGCTGTTTTTTTTTTCTCCTTGTCTTTCTAGCGCCCGTTTGCCGTTCACACGAGATATTTGGAGTTGCTTTATTTCATCGCGATAAGATCGTTACGGGGAAACTGAAATTGGACGTAAAAAGCCGACTTGTACGCCGAGACGAGGTAAGGAAGGAAGATTGAAGATTCAGATACTCGTCCACGTATAATGTCGTCGCCGTAGCGTAATGAAGAGATTTCTAATGACCGTGATAACGACCAACCAAACGATAACGACTGTCGCGAGCGCTACGAGGCTACAGGAGGATCGTTGGAGCGCAAAGTGGTGGAAACTCGAAGGAAGACGGCGCGAGGAGAGGTAACAGAAGAAGAAGCGAAGAAGCCGTGGCACGTGACCCCGAGACCGGCAGAGTCAACTCGCTCAAGTAGCCGGGCCCTGCCCTTTGACCCAACCGACAATTTCGAATTATGTCTCTCCGAGAGAACGGATATACTCCCGTCAGAGACGACAGAGAGGTGCCTTTTACTTGGCCGCTCTTCCCGTGCTTCTCTAGATGAAACAAAATTTTGATATTCTCTTCAAAGTATGAATTGAAAACGGGATAATTATAATGTACTGTGTGTTTCACAACGTAGAAACTGTAAAAGATATCGCATCAACGACCATGAACGAAATTTTCTCACAATTGCAGCCTCTATATCTCCCAGTAAGCCTCGAGTCTAAAACCGAAACGTTAGATGCTGGTTAGAGGATCGACGATCCCGTGGCTCGTGCCAGGCAAGACGGAGAATCCCTGGAGTCCGCGATATGCGCAGTTGTTCTTCCCTGAGGAAGACAAATGATCCACTCGGACGCGAGACAGTTAGCGTATCTGCGGGGAGGCTTCAGCATGGACCACGAAGAAGAAGAAGAAGAAGAAGAAGAAGAGGAGGAAGAAGAAGAAGAAGAAGAGGCAGAAGAAGAGGAGGAGAAGATGCGTTCCTCTGTTGTCCAGGGATCAGCACGGCAAATGTGCGCGCGCCTTCGGGCAGGCGGACTCGCTTGATCCCGTGCCATTACGATATTAATGTAATGCCGCTAAAAAGGTGTGTTTGCTTGGTTAGGAGGAGGGAGAGGTGAGTCGAGGCGAGGATCGAGCCCACGTAGGATAGTCTGGCCAGATATGGCGTGTGCCTGTGCCGCGGCCACCACCACGGTTATCGTCGTCGCCACCATCGCCGTCATCGTCATCATCCTCTTGGTCGTTCCTCGTCTGACTTCCCTCTTGGCGATTTAAGGAGAACGATTAGAACGATCGAACGTCCGCGGTTACACTCTTCCTGAATTAATTTTATTTTTTTTCTCACCTCTGATTCGAGTCTGTCTCGTCTGGTCTCATCGGCCCGACGATGTTCTCGATGATCTTGTATCGAAGTTGCGACTATTGTTCACGCGTTGTTTCTCGCACGATCACGCGGCGAACAACGCCGTGAGTCTTTTGTTCCTTTGAAAATTGTACGAACGCCCGAGGGTACACCGGTTAATGGAGAACTCGTACGAGATGAGGGGAAAGGGTTCTCGGCGAGTAATCGAAGACCGAGAAATTATAGTGTCGGATATCTCGCGTTGCTCGCGACTCGTGGAAATCATTATCGTTAAATTTATGATTCTTTAAACGGTCGATCAGGTGAGACAGGACACGGTTACGGGGTCCTTTCCTCTGGACGGTACATCGGTCGAGAGGTCCGTTTTCGTCGTCGACGCACACGCGATCCTTCCTCGATCCTGTTCCCCTCGTTTCAGCCCCACCTGATATATGTATATGCCCTCTTCTTCTACGTTCAAGTATCCGACTGCTTTTATCTCTCTTTCTTTTCTTTCAGTCACGGCCAGTCGCGACCTCGTATCTTTATTCGGTCATGCAGCGAACGAGAGCGGCAGGCAAACGAGGATATATTCGCTTCGGACTCGAGCGGCGATCGCGAGCCCGACGCCGACGCCAGCCGTCGCTGAGAGTTCCAGAGGGAAAGTTGCAACCCTTTTTTAGCTAGAGGGTATACACGTTGGAATAGTCGTTTTGACGTAATTGCAAAAACTGGACTGACCTGTTTCGATACCTCTATGCTCGCTGGAGGACATCTTCTGCCGGTCTTATCTTTCGAGCATCGCGTGCAATTCTCTGTCGTGCGATGATAAAATTGTCGCGTCGCGGGCTGAGATTAAAATCAAAATACATCGGATGTTGTTTTCAGGTAACGTTTTATTTCTTCTTTGCTTTTACAGTTTCAGCTACTTTGATCGTAAACTTTTTCAGCGTTGCCGTAATCAGGATCAATTAAAGAATGAAATTTTCCTGGACAGAATAACTCGATGCTGGTGGATAACTTTTTTGCGCCTACGGACCACGGATAATCCAGTTAGTCCTGACACGAAGATACTTGTCTCAAGGACGTGAAAAGAAAGAAGACGAGCCTGGTAGACTCGATTAGCCATCTTCGAGTGCTCTATTAGCGAGCTGGTATAAGAAGGCGCTTCCAGCTTCCAGGTGTGCGCCGCGTTTCGTGCGAGCAGCGGCTTTTTTGTGTGATCATCCTTCTTGCGGTTTCTCCTCCCTTCGTTGCCTCGAAGACAGACTATCACGCTGCCTTTCAAACCGTAATACGCGTGACGAGCTTCTGGCACGCGTCGAAACCTGCACTTAACGAACCTACCGCTCTGGTGCCCCTAATATTACGCACCGCTAAAAGCGGATATTTATCCCTGTGCGTAAGCAGGATGCTCGTGGCGTCGAAATACAACGCGTGCCACGTTCGTGCCTCTATTATTCAATGAGAGCAAAAGTCGTCGTAGAAGGGGAGCTACTGAAAGCAACGATACCACCTGTGTTTCCCGCTAGAAATTCGATACCGAGGTATACATAGGATTATGCGTATCACGGTGAATGGAATATCATGTGCGTTCAATCTGGGGAACTCTATAGCGGCTTACGTGCCACCGAGTGTAGCTCTGCAACTTTGTTGTTTGCGTTTACAATTGAAATTACTTTACACGCGCGTTTCGATTCGCAACAGCTACAAAAAGGTGAAGATTCGATGAAGAGGATCGGTAACGAAGCCAGGACGATGCGGGGGCAGCGTGTTTACGGTAAAAGTCATCCAACCCAGGAGAGTATCGACCTCAACCTTCCGGCGTTCTTCTCGGTCGCTCGGCCGTCCTTCTTTCTCTTCCTTGGGCGCTCCAATTTCAAGGTCGCGACGCGTCGTAGCCCGGTCGAAAATTTCCGCAGCGATTGGCCGCATACTTCCGGCGGCGAAATCGGTCCCTGTCGCGAACGACACGACGGGGTCGTCGGTTAGGTGTACATATCGAGGCGCGCGAGGGAGCGACCGATCGAGCAAGAAAAGGAGATAAACTTGAAGCAGAGTTACCGGGACGAGCGTGAAGTCGAAGAGAAACGCAATAAGAGATGAAGAAGAAGAAGATGAAGAGGAGGAACAGGAGGAAGAAGAAAAAGAGAAGGAAGAAAGAAGGAGAGACGCGCTCTCTCTGGCGTGGGGGTGCGCCCACGCCGGTGACGTCACCCGGCGAACGTTGGCAGTGTTACCGGCGATCAACGCGTTGGTGTTCGAGCCTCCTTCGCGAGGAGAAGAAAGAGGGAAGAACAGAGGAGAAAAAGAGAGACATCGGGCGCGTGGAGGAAGGGAATCGTCGCAGAGGAGGTGGTGGAAGAGAGAGGAAATAAGGGAGAGATAACAGAGAGTAAAAGGGAAGGAAGTAACGGGTGATGAGAGGAGCAAGCGGGTAGGATGGCGAGTGGAAGAAGAATGAACGAAAAGAAGAGAGATCGGGGAGCGTTGGTGCGTTGCGAGGAAAAGGGACCAGAGTGGCGGGCGGGAGCAAGGGCGGGGGAAAGGAATGAATGGAAATCGCGGAGAGACACGCGGGAGAGACGGATGATTCGAAAGGAGCGGATGAGAGGAGAACGGGTTGCGTTGCCGGTGTGCGGAGAAAGAGAGGATGAAAGAACGGGACGGAAGAGGAGAGGATCGCACCGGGGCGAGGATCTCGGCGTCCGGAGTTCCATAAGGGAGGGGAAGCAGGCGTATAGGTGAGCAGCGCGAACAGTATCGGGAGTATGCACGGGGTGATGTCGACGACACGTGACGCCAGCGAATCTCGTCTCGCCGGTCGCGAGGATCGCCACCGCCGTCACCGCCACCGCCACCGTCACCGCCACCCGCAGCAACACCACCAGGAGCACCAGCAGCCGCGGCAGCAACAGCCTCCTCGCGCGCTCTCTCCGCGCGCGCGAGCGCTCTCTCGAGGCGACCGACCACTTCCCGCGCGAGCCGCTCTTTATTAGTCTACCGCGGACCATCGCGAACCCCTTTGGCTGCCTCACGGCTCCACCATCCTCCAGACACGTATTCTTCCAACACCGGAGGATCCTCCATGGCACTAGACGGCTCCTGACTGCTGGACAGGAAAACGTTTTAAGAGCGACACGGAGACGAAACTGTTGCAGAAAAGAGGTTCGAGAGGAAGGGAGGACCGAGTTGGTGTCGACGCGGAGGAGGAGGACGAAGAGAGCGAGAAAGAGCAGGATCTTCCAGTGATACGATACCGGGCAGCACGCGCGCCGCGCCGGTACGTCCGCTTTATCGGCTGCGAACCACGAGCGAACCTCGTCCTCTGCTCGAAGCGCGCGAAACGTTTCTTTCTCATCGTGTACCGGTGTGTCGATTCGAACATCGGATCGTTCGTAACAAAGTTTCAGTTCGCAAACCTTTTCGTTATCCGGTGCTTGGATAAGTTTCGGACACCGAGCAACTTCGTCGCGGAAAAGATTTCTCTGGCGCTTTCTTCTTCATCTTGGGAGAAATTTGATCCACCGGTGTGAAGCTTTCTACCTGTCGTCCAAGCAACCGAGGAACAACGACGTAGGATTTCGTTCAAACAGCCTGGCTTGGAAATCTCTTCTTATCGACTGTCCTCGAGTGGAAACGCAAACATCTCGGCTTCTGTCGAACGCTTCCGCGAGTGTCGTACTCACAAGGCGAGGAACAGATCGATCGCGACAGTGGTTCGTTGACGTTTTGTCCAGCTATATACTTCCTGTAGCAGCTGACTGTCGGTCGGTTGGTTGATTGTTATTGCTCTTTCTCTTCTTCCGATCGTGTCCGCCGCGAGCATCGAGAACTAGCGGACGCGACGGGACGCGACGGGTGACGCGTGCGTCTCGGTGACGTGACATGTGCGATAGCCTGGCCGCCACTTCGTTATCGTGCTCGTCCTCTTTGTCGTGCTGGTCATCGTCGAGGCGAAGAAAAGGGTGTTGTCGGTGGACGGCCGTTGCCGAGCGGGAAGAAGAAGAAGAGGAAGACAAGGGCAAGATCAAGAGGAGGAAGAGCACGTGGACGACTGGCACCGCGACGAGGGCCGGCGGCGCGACAGGTTGAAAAGATGCTGGCACTGGCGATGCGCCGCGAACACACGACCGGCCGCAGCAATTACGAGCCCGCGAATCCGCTCGCGGGTTTCGAACATTTGCAGCACAACAGCGGTAACCCGTTCGCGGTGGTGCCCTCGTCGTCGGAGGGCAGGCTGCGCGAGCCTGGCCCGGAACCCGACGGCGAACTCCAAGAATTCGTAGACATCGCTCAGGTTCAACAGTTGCTGCAGCAGCAGCAACAACAGCAGCAGCAGCAACAACAACAGCAACAACAGCAGCAGCAACAACATCACCACCACCATCATCAGCAACAAGTGGCGGCAGCCGCGGCTGCGTCTTGTATCTGGGGAGCGGTGTATCCACCGCCACCCCCTACTTTGGGATACCATCATCACCATCATCATCACCACCATCCACCGCCAACAGCGTCAGGTAACGTGTTCTCGTCTCATGCTATCACAGTGTTGATAATCACAGTGTTGAATCTCGATGTTGGCTCGCTTGGATGATTTCAAGTTTTTACAATTCACATTGTCAATTAAATGACAATCCCAAATGAGGGACGAGGTCCCAAATGATTTGTCATAACTTGCTCGAGGCTGGTTCCCGATAACAGTAGGCCCGCTTATCGTCCTGGCGCGAAGATGTATAAGTTTGACGCGGGCGTACACCATTTTCCGTGGGTTTCGCCGGGTTCTCGGTTCTCTGTGCACGGGAGCGTACGGCTACCGGTATTGGCGCCGATCTAAACACTTGGTGATAATCGATCTTTACGAGCGGCACGTCAAAACCTGTATTTCAAGACCAGCTATTAAGTTTCTTGTCACCACTTGAACGCCTGGTCGAGAGCGGGCCTCCAGGTATATCGCGCCGGTGTCAACGTCGACGACGTTGGCCGCGAAACGTCGCACCGTTGCCACCTGGGGATATCCTCGTGATTAACTTTTGCCTTCTACTCGCAAAACTTGTTTCTATCCCTTCGACTCTGAATACTTTTAATTTTGCGTTTGAAAGAGTTAGGCTAATGTTTGAACAAAATTGATCGGTGTCAAACGAAGTGACATTAGAATCTATCCTACGATCCTCCAACATCGAGAATCGACACAGAATTAGTACTATATAAATCAACGTGATTTTTCTGCTATTATCACGAAACTTTGCTTAACGCTTGCATGATATTTTGCTTAATCAACACTCTAATCACCAAGGAGTTAACTCTTGGACAGCGAAACAGAGTCAATTTTGAGCCCAAATGAATAGTGAAATAATATCTAAAAGAAAAGTCCAAGTGATCCGTCGTCCAAGAGATTAACTATGCTTTTTGCGATGCTCCCCGATGACGAGTGTCTTCGATTCGACGAACACCTTCGATCGAGATCTAAAACGGAAATGACGTGTTATCGTTGAGCAAAAGATCGATCTTGCCGTCGGATCGCAGACACTGATCCCTGCAACGGACCGTGGTAGATCATCGATCGGGAAGCTTTTATCCCAGCTCCATAAACAAAAAATCCATCGCGAAGTGGTAATAACGATCGTTTTAATTAATTAAACACGTACATCCTGATTACTTCATCCCCGTGTGATTGGTATATAGCGGATTGCTGTAGAGATAACATTAACGATAACGTTAAGCGGTGATTAATTACGTGATTAATACCTTTGACTGCAACGCTCCATTGTTTGCTAAGTGCGAACTATATCCGTTCTAATTTTACACTTGTCATAACGAAACGGCCAATGTTAATGTCGTCCGCGCGAAATGCGATTACTTTGCGATATCATTCGAAAGGAAAAACGGGATTAATCCTGTCCTGATCGAAGGACCGATGTCATTTTCGGTGCCGTTGGAAATCGGATGGAAAAATTTCTCTTTTACGGAAGGAGAGGAAGTTTTTTAAATAATAACAGAGATCGAGGAAGGTGAGATGAAGGAATTAAAAGGGGTAAAAATCATTCGAGTTAAAAGAAATAAAGGAAAGCGAATAGAAACGATTCCAACACCTTTTAGAATCGATAAGTGACAGTGGACAGTGGTAGTTTATGTATTCTTGGTGGCCTCGGTAAACCGAAGGGTCGGTGTCGTTGGCCTGAATTCGTACGAAAGAAAGAAAAAGATTAGAAGGCCGACACGACGATCCTCCTTGGAGAAGAAACGATTAGAAGAACGGGGGATCGTCTTTGTCGGACCACGCCTAAGCTATCCTTCCTACATGGAAATGGAATTATTCCTTTCTACGTGGAACTTTTGATACGATAATCTTTCGAGAATCTGTAATCGAGGGATTTAACCCTTTGACACGAACAAACTGGTGTGTTTGAAATTTACAATTTAAATCCATCCCCAATGATTTATTTGCTTTTACTACTGAAATATGATGGATATTTCGTAGATCATTTCTGATCATTTTCTGCACTAGTTTCCGTTCGAATTCGAAATTTTATCGAGAAAGTTCGGTGTCGATTCCGGGGTCGTTAATTGGTGGTTCATTCAGTTACGTACACGCTGACGTTTGTACCTTCAACAGAACCCCTGATTACATAACGTCAGTGTCCGTTCAAGAAGTGTGCTGTCAAAACCAAGTAACGTCGAATATTTTCGATCGATTAAACCGTCCTCGTTACGTTTGAATCGAGAAATTTCGAAATTGATGTCGCTGACACCTCTTCTTTGTCTATCAATTAGTTACGCGAATCTCTGCTCGTTTCATGGAGCTCGATTGGAAATTCTTCAATTTCTACCTGGATAGTTGTAATTCCGATGCCGGAGACACACGTTCACCAGTTTCCCAGCGAAACTTACAGGTAGCCAATGAGATAGCAGGATTTTTTCTCTTTCGACGACGAGGAGGAGAGACAAGGGGAGAACTTTCATAGATCATTGTTTAAAGTGTCGTGGCTTTGTATGGTAACGCGAAGTAAATCGTACGGTACACTCCTGACATTTCGTTATTATTGTACCGAGCGGTAAGACAGGAAATCGTACATCATGCACGAACCTACTACGGTGGGCGGGTAAAAGGGAACGAGTCACCTTCTTCTCCTCTCGGCCTGTTCGGCTCATTGGCGTTCCGCGTGATCTTAAGTGTTTATACGCCCTTCGTGTATTTTACCCTGTTCTCTCTTTTTCTACCTCTTCCATACCGCTCGCCCCCATCGGATACAAACGAGGCTGCGAAAATGTTCGTTCAGAAAATTCGTGAAAAACAGGGACCGGTAATTGAAATCGAACCTGGCAAGCGTAATCTTCGCGAAACGATTTGCAATTTCAAACGTTACCCATCGTAATTGAAGGATCTTTTCTTCAACGTGCACGGGTCATGAATGAAACTTGAACTTTCAAAGAGGATCCGATGGAAAAACAGTCGTTCAATTATACGGGGAGCAGAAGGTTAACGCTAATTACTCGAAGGTTAATTCTCGTAAATCTTAATTCAGTGGCGTTGTAGTGGCGAAAAACAATCTGGGCAAGGAGAGTTCGTTGTCGCTGAGATATGGGTCGCAGACGGAACGTGGAATGCAGCTTGGCGGACGATCGTCATTTTCTCGCAGAGCCATTTCGCGTACGACGAGTAGACGAGGAAAACGAGCCGTGGGAGGTGAGATTCTATCGTTTCGACGGTAAAGAGACGTTCATTTTCATCGATTAACGTGCCTTCGCGTTTAAAGAGGAAGAAGGGCACGAGTTCTCTAGCTCTTGGATCAACGTTTCTTCGAGGAGGTTCCTCAGGTGTTTGGCCCATGTGACCGCCTCCTCGCGTTTGCCAAATTTCCCGGGACCTTAATTCTCGCATGTTTTTACGTAACACCTCGCAGTTACCATGCTCTCCACCTACGTTGAAAGTTTATAACATCGCGTCACTAAACGAGCTTGTTTCGTCCAAGATACTCGTATACTCGTCAAGATTCAATGTTGATTCGATTCCAGAAGTTTTTGCGCAAACTTCGCGCAAACCTCACCAAATTTCGATTACTTTTCTTGGCGCACTCGAAAACGTGTTTCTTCTTCGACTAACGTCGCGGTTATTATTTTGGCTACGATTCTGAAAACTTTCGCAGTGACCATTCGCGCAACCGATTCGCGATCAAGTTTGTTAAACATCGAGGAATTAAACGAGCCACGACGAAGCGAAGTTTCTAAACATCCATTCGTCACAGTTGGCTCGTGGTCGAACGATGAGCCAGTAGTGGGTTACATTTGCCAAAATCATTCTCGTCGTCATCGATGACGTTCGCGTCACGTTTCGAAGTTGGAACGCGTGCTTGACTCGTTACGCTACGCTTGAATCACTGTACAGGAATAACGTTGATCTTATTCCGAGTGTCGTTGTACCTTTTCCTGGTGAAAATTTTGACTTCGCCGAATTGCTGTTGCATAGATAAGATCGGATACCATTCGGATGAGACGGTCGTTTCTGGTCGCGTGATGGAAATTTTATGTCTGTGACCCGTGATCTTTCGACGTCGCAAACTTTCTCGCTAAAACGCGAACGTTTCAATTCGCGTGACTCGACGTTCAATAGAGATATCTCATTTTTCTTCGTTTCAAAGCTTTCCGGATGAAAACGTTTCTACGAAGTCGAAGACACATGTAATATGTAGTTGTCAGCTGTGTCGTCCGCAAACGCGATTCGTCATTCTTGACTGGCGTCGAAGTCGTCGCTCGTTGCTCGTTGCTCGTTACCGGATGTCTTAATAAACAATGCTAACGATTTCCCGCTGGATTACACGCCACTGGTGGTAGCCTGCCCGTCTTTAACCCATTAACGACCGGCCAGTGAAATAATACGATTTTCATACCTAACATTTTTTATTTTTCTACAAAATTATTGCGGGGATTTTAATTTACTGTGCCGGTCAACGTGCTAACAGTTCGTTGCTACTATTTAAACTGTACGTTCGAACGATTCTCTTATCAGAAATATAGTTGGAGATGGTAAAATCGAAGCGATTGTTCAACGCGACGAGGCGCGTAGCGTTAACTCGCGGCGCGGCACACGCGTCAGTGTCGCGACGCTCGTCGTTCCCGACGTCGAAGCGTGAAAGTCGAGCCCGGTTGCGCGTGCAACGTAATGACCCGTGGGTATTCGAGCAGGCTCGCGTTATTCCCAGTTCCATCGCAGGTAAACCGATTTCCACGAACGTCAACTCCCGACAGGCTTTACCTACCTCCTTTTTATTTCTCGACCTTTTCATTTTGCCGCACGTTGAACGACCCATAGGCCTTAATTAGATAAATTAGGAAACCAGAAAACCAACGGTTTCTTTACGCGTCTATCTGTTGGAAAATTAAGGATTCCATTTGATGAATTGCGTAAAAATTAGGGGAAAATTTGTTTTTCTTATCACTTCCGTTCTACTGAACTGGATTAATCGAACATCACGAGGAGTTGCACAGGTGCGCCGTGCTATCGTAAATCTGCGTTCGTGTT